AGAACTCATGTAACAGACAAGGAAATCCAAGAACTCATGTACTGACAAGGAGATCAAGAACTCATGTAACCGACAAGGAGATCCAATAACTCATGTACTGACAAGGAGATCCAAGAACTCATGTACTGACAAGGAGATCCAAGAACTCATGTACTGACAAGGAGATCCAAGAACTCATGTAACTGACAAGAAGATCCAAGAACTCATGTACTGACAAGGAGATCCAAGAACTCATGTACTGACAAGGAAATCCAAGAACTCATGTACTGACAAGGAGATCCAAGAACTCATGTACTGACAAGGAGATCCAAGAACTTATGTACTGACAAGGAGATCCAAGAACTCATGGACTGAAAGGTTTGATATACATGATCTTTTGATTAATAAAAGTAGGTAAAGTAAAGGACCCTTTTCCACACTTTCAGGTGTATGGGAAACAAGGACTAGACAGAAATTGTATAGACGAATCAGCATTTGTTTGGTATGTGATGTGATCAGCATTTGTTTGGTATGTGATGTGATCAGCATTTGTTTGTTGTGTGATGTGATCAGCATTTGTTTGGTATGTGATGTGATCAGCATTTGTTTGGTTTGTGATGTGATCAGCATCATGCCATCTGTCACTTCTAGCTAACTATTAATTATCAGTAAGCTAACTGTAATAAGGCTAAGGATAATATACTGTAGATGAAGAGAACATGATGAAGTAGTAGTAATTCAAACATTATTCTGTTCAGCACATCAGGATTATATTTGGAGCGTAGAGAGATTTTTCTTCTATTTCAATAATGGATACTTGTCTACAATTTATGTTTGGTTATACAATACTGTATGGTTTGTTTATTGTATAAATTTGTAGGATTATATATTGTTCAGGGAAGACCAAGAAGAAGATGGATTGAAGAAGTCACGGACAACTTGAGACTTCATAACATCACGGCATATGAAGCGACTGAGCGCGCCCTGGCTCGGTTGCCGATCATCTGATAGGCTGCGACGCCTAGCGGCACAAGCAGATTTTGACAAAAGAAGAAGAAGATATATTGTTCAGATAAAATTGTATTAAGCATGCTGTGATTTGTTTAAGGCAGCAAAGAGTCTGTACTGAGACAGGTTTCAAATATCTCATGACTATTTAGCTACGTTTACTTAGTGGCCACAAGTTTGAAAATGCCGATCGTCATGGGCCAGAATCTCCCAGCATAGAAAGATCATGACTGTAATACAACTGGCAGTGTTTCGCAGGCCACTTGTTAGGTGTCCATGGTCCAGATCTGGTCTCTGGGCCACCAGTTGAAGAACCCTGGTTCAGAGGTTGGTGGCATCATTGCTTTACTGTGAAAGACTGTTTCACAGCTAGGCTGAGAGTATATTAGTTTTATACCTATAAATGGAATAAGGCCTATAATCCTTAACCTTTTTTTAGGCACTTGTTATTTCTTTTAAACAATAACTAGAGGTAAGGTGGAGTGCAGAACAGCAGCAATGATATAATGTATGCTCACTAGGTCTCTAAGTATTAGCTGTGTTCCTTTCTGCTATTTCTTTCAATAATGAATTGTCATGGTAACGCAATCACTCACCAGGTGGTCAACCAGTCCATAGTGCTTGATAACAACTACCCCCCCCCCCCCCTTACTCTCCCATTCAGAATGGACTCCCTCGGGAACAGCTCTATGCACACACATGTCAGCAACTTTCAGCTCTGAACACATCTGGTCACCGATACTGTCATTTTTATTTTAAATGCTATTGACAAAGGTTGTGTATTTGAGATGCTGTGAATCTGAATTTGTTCCTTTGATATCCTTTCTATCCAGTTGATTCTTGGCTTGTTGTGAGATGCAACAATTTGTCAACAAATTATGGTGCTACAGACCAGATAGAAGTAAAGTGTTTTTCCCCAAACATTTAGTGTACTGAGCTTACAGTGCTACACCTAAATGTCCTAGAGGAATTATCACTTGGTAGATGAGGTACAGACATGTCTACTGGTTATTTATTGTCACAGTTCACTTTGAAGTGATCTTATGTCGTCAAAGTTTATTTTTCTACAAATACTATTTTGGCTACTGCAGTGCTGGATAGTACTTTCAACCTATTATTTATGTTTTACATTGCATCTTTTGTTGTAAATAAACATTTACTGTAATCGACGTGATCAACTGAATTTTCAATTTTGCATTCTAGATGATTATATTATATGATTCTGTGCAAACAGTAGGTTCAGAACACGCAATAAATAACAATACTACGTGAGCGTCGCTATGTCATCAATCAGTTATAAACAAAGGCAGAAATATTTCACCAAAACAGCCTGTACGGACGACTGATATGTCGTCTGTATTTGCTGTATCCAGGTGACAGAAAACTGTTGCCATGTTGATTTATTTACCAAGTCTGGGTCTGTGCTTGGGCTGGGAGACCGTTGTATCGTCACCAGCGCCATCACTTGTGGGTGACACTCAGCTAGCGGATCAAGGTGGCATTCTGTATGTCAGCTGCATGACCAGGGAAGGCACGAACATCAACAAAGGCACAAGTCAGCGAGTGTGTAGATCTATGTATGTGTGTGGACAGTAAACTGGCTCAAGCCTTTTGTTGTCGTCGTCTGTTTCCCCACACAATCAGGGCTGCCAATAGGATTTTTTTGAAAAACCCAGCTTTTTTTAACAAAAACCCAAGCAATACATAGACAAAGAACAAGAAAACAAAATAAAAAACCCAGATTGTTAAAAATGTACAAAATTTATAGTTACGAAACGAAAAATTTACCACTTTTATATAAGGATATATTAAAAAAAAAACCCAGATTTCCCTGAGGCGTCTAATAAAAACCCAGATCTTGGGGAAAAACCCAAGCATTGGCAGCCCTGCACACAATTACGGAAGTGGGGTCCACCGCCCGCCAGACTGCTCTCCCCTGGCTCGGGGTTTACCTCCCACCGCCATATTGTTTACCTTATCCTAGCAACCCAACATGGCGCCCGGCGGGCTGTATTTCGTTTTGTTTTGATTCGATGTTCAATAATGTTTTTGCATTCGTGAGATCTATCCCTATACGATTATATTCTGGTTTTCACATATTTGCGCTTGAGGACTCGTGTTAACAGGTAGTTAGATACGATTATTGTGATTAACTGACTTGTTAGTTAGTTGACCTTGTCTCCAGAGAACAGCTCGTCATCATCATCATCCAACATTCACATGATTTGTTAGCAGTGATTAGCACACCTTCACACAACGGCGAACCTGGGGGTGGGGGAGAGAGAGGGGGGGGGGCGCAATCTTAGATCTTCTGCTTGTTTACGGCGACCATAAGGGAGACGATACATCGCTTGTGTCTATTCACATGTCTATAATGTTCTTTAATATTTGCTTTTGCCTAAGGTTAGGGTAAGAGATGAACCCTAATGGCCTAATCCTAATCTAAGGGGGAAAAGGCGGCTCTCCTCCGAACTTCTACCCCTGCATTATGGCGGCCTGAAATATCCGCTTGGGGCTCAGTCCAATGAAAAATGCGAACTTTCTGCCAAGGAACAAATCGCGGCAAAACAAGGATTACTTGACCATTTCAAGAGACTGCAACATTGCAGACGATAGTCGGCAGTGCGGCATAGCCATAGAAACAGGTCCGCAATTAATATTTCACTGAGACCCTGTTAGAGCATTTGTTTGCCCTCGATAATATTGGCCTGTTATTTTTAGCCGATCCTAGTTTTGCCGCGATTTGTTTCTCGGCAGGAACTCCGCCTTTTGCATAGGACTGAGGCCCTGTTAGGGTATTTGTTTGGCCGCCATAATATGGGGGGGGGGGGGGGAGATCGAAGGAGAGCCTAAAAGTTGAAAGTTCTGTAATGGTGAACAGAAAGGTTTCTTAAAGTCCAAATTAGGTTTTTGAATTCAGACAGCAGAACTAGTAATTGTGTCATGTGTCGTGTGAGGAAGGCTGTTTAATATGATCACTTTGTGTGTGTGTGTATATATATATATATATATATATAGTCCTAAGAAGATACAATGATAAATGGCTCTTTAGATAACCAAATTACTTGACCGTTGTTGTGGTGTAGGCAAGGGGACATTTGTGTGGTGTAGGCAGGGGGACATTTGTGTGGTGTAGGCAAGGGGACATTTGTGTGGTGTAGGCAGGGGGTATTTGTGTGGTGTAGGCAGGGGGATATTTGTGTGGTGTAGGCAGAGGGATATTTGTGTGATGTAGGCAGGGGGATATTTGTGTGGTGTAGGCAGGGGGACATTTGTGGGGTGTAGGCAGGGGGATATTTGTGTGGTGTAGGCAGGGGGATATCTGTGTGGTGTAGGCAGGGGGACATTTGTGTGGTGTAGGCAGGGGGACATTTGTGTGGTGAAGGCAGGGGGACATTTGTGTGGTGTAGGCAGGGGACATTTGTGTGGTGTAGGCAGGGGGACATTTGTGGGATATCTGTGTGGTGTAGGCAGGGGGACATTTGCGGGGTGTAGGCAGGGGGACATTTGTGCCTGAGGATTTAGGGCCGCAGGCAGTTAATATTTTATCTGCTGTTTGTATTTTTTCAGTTTGCTCCTGTTTATGATGTGACCAAAGAATGAAAACTTCTCTCTCTCTCTCTCTCTCTCTCTCTCTCTCTCTCTCTCTCTCTCTCTCTCTCTCTCTCTCTCTCTCGCTCTCTCTCGCTGATAAGGTAATCTGTTTGTGAGTTACCTTCTTTCAAGACATTTTAATTACTCTTTTTATCTGTCTGTAAAATTGTTATCATTAGTGTGGACTTCATTTTTAATACTGTCATGAATACTGCACATAAAATAATAATTGCTGCTCTCTTACAATTTCAGACACAATGGAGGACTTTGACTTCAACGACACTGCCCCAGTTCCAGTGTCAGAGCAAGAGTTTCTCATGGAGAACCTGTGTGTCAAGAAAGGCAGGGCAGCCGGTGGATATGAGCCACCTCACACACGCAGCGCTGCCCGCAGGTGGAAGAACATCAATGAGCAGAACATGATGACGAGGCTCAATGAGATGCACGTCATCAAGAAACAGAATGCTCATATGTCTAAAGAGGCTGCCCGTGAAATCATTAGAAAAATCCCAGTGGAAGTACTTGCCAAGGAGTGGTTGTCAAAAGAAGATGCCACTGTAGACATGCGAGCGTATTTAGTAGACCAAGTATGAGTTTCTGTTCAACTATGCCTGTACTAAGCAAAACACTAAACGTTTCTGACTTTCTTTATATATGGTATACAATTCTGAGTTTCTTCATACTTAGTATACATTTCTGACTTTCTCTATATATGGTATACAATTCTGAGTTTCTCCATATGTGGTATTCTTTTCTGACTTTCTCCATATGTGGTATACATTTATGACTTTCTCTGTATGTGGTATACATTTATGACTTTTTCCAAATGTGGTGTACAATTCTGAGTTTCTCCATATGTGGCATACATTTCTGAGTTTCTCTGTCCCATAGTTGTGGCATGTCCACCCTGTTAGACTGTAAAAAGTACACAGACTGTGGAACAGAAAGCTGTTGCAGCAAAAACTCTGCATAACTGAAAGAGTTGAACAAAGATAACAGCAGCTGGTTAATTTCCCCAAAACTAAAACACACAGCAATACCAATGAGAGCTAAAAGACAAATCATAAATGCAGTCTTGTTACCAACATTGAGTTACCAATACCAAACCTGGGTACTAACAACAGAACAAGACTGGAAACTAAAGACATGTGAAATAAGATGTATGAGAACAGCAGTCAATATAACTAGAAGAGACGATAACAGGAAGGAAGATATCATTAGAAGTGTGGGAACAACACCCATAATTAGATTTAGTGAAAAACAAAGACTGAGATGGGTGGGCCACTCTGTGGGAATAAACCCCACGTCACCGGTTGCAGAAGCCTACAATGTGAGAATTGAATCATCAGGAGGCAGAGGAAGGCCAAGAAGAAGAGTGGTAGATGGAATTAACAACTCGCTGAAACTCAACAGTATCACCAGGCAGAAAGCTGATGAGCACTGTCCCAGAGAACGATCATTAGCTGTGCCTGCGACACTTAACAACAACATTAGGCAGAGAAAGACAATAGGTTGATAGATAGTAGCTTGTTAACTGTATCCTTATTTAATCTGTGGTGTATTTTACAAATAATGAATACACTTCAGTTGTGTGGACATTTTGACTTGAGCTGAGTTAGGAACTGACACCACACTACCCTGGACTTCCCCATTTAAGCAGGGACGTCCCTATCTTCAGCAACCAGCAAAGAGTTCTGTTGATAAAACCTGCAGCAGTCTGATTATGTGTCCGTTTTTCAGTCTGATTATCTATCCATCTTTCAGTATGATTATATTCTTTCCTTTGCGTGTTGGCCAGATCCTCGTCATTTCCTGCTTTACAAGTTTATCTAGACCATGCTTATCCAGACTTGAATATCTTGTAGAAATTATCCAAAGGACTCTGCTCCTGGGACTGTCTGAAGCAGTGCTTGACACTGCACAGAGCCTGCCTTTCACAGAGCCTGCCTTTCACAGAGCCTGCCTTTCACAGAGCCTGCCTTTCATAGAGCCTGCCTTTCATAGAGCCTGCCTTTCATAGAGCCTGCCTTTCATAGAGCCTGCCTTTCATAGAGCCTGCCTTTCATAGAGCATGCCTTTCATAGAGCCTGCCTTTCACAGAGCCTGCCTTTCATAGAGCATGCCTTTCATAGAGCCTGCCTTTCACAGAGCCTGCCTTTCACCACATTTCTCAGCATACTTTGTGAGTCTGTTACAGTCATAATATGTGTTTGCAGCTGGGTCTCAAGCCAATGGAAAGCTGCAGTAACTGCCTCCACCTCCACTCTCAATCTAAATGTTGTATTATCGTAAATATGTGTCCAACCAGTGTTGGCTGGAAATAGCATCCATGTGTGATGTATATATATATGGGTGTTTGTATGTGTATGGATGAATGTGTATTATTGGGTGCCTGTGGACTATTGGGTCCTTGTGTATGTATGGGTGTTACTGTATGCATGGATATGTATTGGTGTGTGTTTATATGTATCGGTGTGTGTGTGTGTGTGTATGAGTGTCAGTGCATGCATTTTATGAGTGATTGTGTGTATGTGTGGTATACATGAATGTGGAATATTTATAGGGGGGAATGCTTTGCTGTGTATGTCTGCTTGTCTAATTTATGTAATGTGTGAGTGTGTTGGTGGGTGTTTGTGTATTTGCAGGTGTACATATGATTATGCATTGTGTTGGATGGAGTGCATGAATGAGTTGGATGCATGTATGTGTAGGGATGTGTATTTTTGTGTGCATATGTATGTATGAGAGTATTTCCTAGTGTTTGTGCATGAGTAGATATGTATGAATGCGTATATATGTATAGGTATTTGTATATATGTGTATATATATATATATATGTGTGTGTGTGGTGTGTGTGTGTGTGTATATATATATATGGGTGATAGTGTATGATTAGGTGCTTGTCCAAGCGTGGGTGTTAGTGTATGTATGGGTGTATAGGTGTTAGTGTGTGTTTAAGAGTGAGTGTGAATGCATGAGTAAATATTAGGGCTGTACCGAATAGGGATTTTCACTATTTGGCCGAATACGAATAGCGGGACCATCTATTCAGTCAAATGCGAATAGTGTATCATCATCATTAGGTGGCTTGCCGACTGGCGTGGGCGATTATGCCTCGCCACAATTTGCGATCTCCTGCAGCATGTATCAGTTCGTGTGCTGACACACATCCATGCCATGCCACAAGACTGTCAAGAATCTTATCTCGTTGTCTTCCTCTGTTCCTCCTTCCACAGATCTTTCCAGTGTTCCATTTTCCCTCTTCTCTTAACATGGCATTGTTCTGTAAAACCACATCTCTGAGGCCTCAAGAAATTGTCTGGCCTGCCTACCGATTGTCCAGGACTCACAGCCATATGTTAAAACTGGATGCTGTACCACACAACCGGGTCGCAGTTGCCCCCGCTACGACAGACGAAGGCAACAACAGCTATTGTGTTAATGAGAGAGTTATTTCAGTTAATTGCAGTGTATGCAGAAACGGGTGTAAGGTAACCACTATTCGTATTCGGCCCGACCACAAGTATTCGGCCAAATACCGAATAGTTATTAGGTCCACTATTTGGCCCCAAAGCGAATACGAAGTGAATATTCGGTGCAGCTCTAGTAAATATGTATGTATAAGTGATTGTGTATGTATAGATGATTGTGTATGCATGGGTAATTGAATATTAATGGGTGATAGTGTATGATTAGGTGCATGTCTATGTTAGGTGTTAGTGTATGTATGTATTTTAAGCAATTGTATATGAATAAGTTCTTGTGTATGCAGGGGTGTATGTGTATGTATGTGGCTGTGTGAGTACTTAGAAGGGCCGAATGTAAGATAGGCCTGCGTGCCCAATTTGTAACCCTTTGAAAACAAAGTTTGTTCATTCGTTTGTTTGTTCAGTGTATAAGATAAGTGAGACGAGTGTTTACAGACATATCCCAAGTACTGTGGTGTCACTTCATTGAAGCTGTAACTATTAGCTGCGAGTATTTCATTGTGTCTATTCCCCTGCCAGATTTTGCCAACACTTATCCTTGGTGTTGAGAGGCTGTTGAGAGAAGTTGATGAGAAAGGTCTCTCGGCAACTAACAGATTTGAACCAGAATTTAACCCCATCAACTTCCTGGCGCAGTACCTCATGCGCAATAACCCGAGGTTCAGTAATTTTGCTGAAGCATCCCCTTATGTCCGAGGATTGAGAGAGGTTTCCGAAGAAATCAAACAAGAGCTTTTCACTTTTGAAGACAATAGGTGAGATTTTAAAAAGTATAACTCTCTCCGTTTTCTCTCTCTCTCTCTCTCTCTCTCCATCTTTGTCTCTCTCTCTCTCTCTCTCTAAAATCCATTATTATTTTTCTGTCTTTTCATTCTCTCTGTTCTCTCTCTCTGTGTCTCTTCTCTAATATCTCTTTCTCTCTCTCTCTCTCTCTCTCTCTCTCTCTCTCTCTCTCTCTCTCTCTCTCTCTCTCAAATCTTTTTTTTACTCCTCTCTGTGTGTGTGTGTGTGTGTGTGTGTGTACATGTCAGTATCTTATGCCAGTTCGTTTGAAGTCCTAATCATAATCATTGAGTTATAATGTAATCTTTAATTTCTTCTTTTTGAAGAAAAGAAAATTGTCTTTGTTGGGCACATGGATGTAATACAATTGTGAACCATCACCTCTCAAGCCTTGGAGCTGGCATGCTTCCCTGGTGGCCCGGGAGTCCTGTGTTCATATTTTCTCTGGTGGCCCGGGAGTCCTGTGTTCATATTTTCCCTGGTGGCCCGGGAGTCCTGTGTTCATATTTTCCCTGGTGGCCCGGGAGTCCTGTGTTCATATTTTCCCTGGTGGCCCGGGAGTCCTGTGTTCATATTTTCCCTGGTGGCCCGGGAGTCCTGTGTTCATATTTTCCCTGGTGGCCGGGAGTCCTGTGTTCATATTTTCCCTGGTGGTGCCCCGGGAGTCCTGTGTTCATATTTTCCCTGGTGGCCCGGGGAGTCCTGTGTTCATATTTTCCCTGGTGGCCCGGGAGTCCTGTGTTCATATTTTCCCTGGTGGCCGGGAGTATTTTCTGTGTTCATATTTTCCCTGGTGGCCCGGGAGCCCTGTGTTCATATTTTCCCTGGTGGCCGGGAGTCCTGTGTTCATATTTTCCCTGGTGGCCCGGGAGTCCTGTGTTCATATTTTCCCTGGTGGCCCGGGAGTCCTGTGTTCATATTTTCCCTGGTGGCCCGGGAGTCCTGTGTTCATATTTTCCCTGGTGGCCCGGGAGTCCTGTGTTCATATTTTCCCTGGTGGCCCGGGAGTCCTGTGGTTCATATTTTCCCTGGTGGCCGGGAGTCCTGTGTTCATATTTTCCCTGGTGGCCCGGGAGTCCTGTGTTCATATTTTCCCTGGTGGCCCGGGAGTCCTGTGTTCATATTTTCCCTGGTGGCCCGGGAGTCCTGTGTTCATATTTTCCCTGGTGGCCCGGGAGTCCTGTGTTCATATTTTCCCTGGTGGCCCGGGAGTCCTGTGTTCATATTTTCCCTGGTGGCCCGGGAGTCCTGTGTTCATATTTTCCCTGGTGGCTCGGGAGTCCTGTGTTCATATTTTCCCTGGTGGCTCGGGAGTCCTGATCTACCTTCCAGAGCAAGCCAGCCTACCATAAAACACTAGAAGAAATTATGTGAAGTAAAGAAAGCTACCACGATATTGACCACATCGCTGCCAGCTGAGCACCGCTTGAGCTTTACAAATATGTGGCCAGCACCGTGTACTAATTGTGCTTCCAGTTGTAGAGAGGGATCATATACATACTTTTTTTGTAGCAGATGTGACATCATTGTTCACAGACGTATACTAGGGGAGACGAAGATGGCAGGCCTTTTGTTGTGCAAATTGTGAAACAATGAATTTGTGTGTATGTGTGTGTTGTGAGTGCATGCATGTGTGTCAATAATATTAGAATTTCCCAAAGAAGTGAATATCTATGTTATGGGAATTACAGGTTCCATACACTTTAGCCATATTATTTTGGTATTTAAGAATCATTATTTGTAAGTTTAGATTTGAAACTTCTTTGCACACTATTTCACTTTGTGAGTTGTAACCTTACAGTCTGTAACCATGACATTTTGTAAGTTAAATTTGCAGTCCTCTTTCCACATGTTTCATTCCTCCGAGTTAATTATTGTATTTGTTGTCTTGATCTTTTATAATTAAATTAGATTGGCACGCATCAAAGCAGAAACACGCCGTAAGCGGATGGACAGAGAGCGTTATGAGCAAGAGATTCGAGAAGGGAAAGAGCGCAGGCGCAATCAGCTGATCTCACAGTTTTCAGAATGGACAAATTATGGGGAAAGGAATACTGTGGAACTTGCTGTTGTGGGTTATTGCAAATTCATCATCATCATCATTATCATATTTTTGTCATGAGGCTCTGACGCTCACTGTCACCAACCTGCATAGTTGACACTTTCTCCCATCCATCTCTTGATGTTATCTATTTAGGTTTACCTCTGTCTTCCTCTTGTTCATTTCTCTTCAACTTTTCTTTCTAGGCGCATCCTTTAGTACTCAATTGTGTCTTTTTATATGTCTTTCTCAAGCAACCATATCTGACATTTTATGTTAAAGTAGACATAATGAAGGCTCTTTAGGATCAGGTGGATGAGGTAGTCTGGAACCAAGTGGATAATGTAGTCTGGAACCAAGTGAATAATGTAGTCTGGAACCAAGTGGATAATGTAGTATGGAACCAAGTGGACAATGTAGTATGGAACCAAGTGAATAACTTAGTCTGGAACTAAGTGAATAGTGTAGTATAGAACTAAGTGGATGACGTAGTATGGAACCAAGTGGATGACGTAGTCTGGAACCAAGTGGATAATGTAGTATGGAACCAAGTGGATGAGGTAGTCTGGAACCAAGTGGATAATGTAGTGTACTAGAAGCAAATCAGATGGGGTATATCGTAATGGGGGAAAAGGAAAATAGATAACCTTAAAGGATAATATGGAAATCTACTCCTTAAAATCTCCTCGACTCTGAACCTACAAGAGCTCTAAACAATGTCACATGGCAAGTGGGAGCCACACCCAACCATAAGCTGCTTTAGTTACAAGAAAAAAAAGAGAAAAAGTTCGCTTAGGCGGGGGAGAGATAAATATATCTCACCCTGACAAGAAATCTTCTGTGTAAAGTCTAGATCAGCCCAAACAACAAATAAACTAAACTAGGCACACTATTTACAAGTCTTAAGCTGAACGGAAAACAACTAGAACTATGATTACTACATTGAACATCTGTTTATTTTACTTGACATAACATCATCGTGGTCAACAAATAACGACATTAACAACAACAAACGTGCTCGACCAGAGACTAAAACATGAATCATCTCCAGCTAAAAAGGAAATATGATAATGACACCATACGCTCAGCGAGACTACCTCAACCATTGGCAAAAACCGAAACATATTTAACATGTACGTTAAGCTTCAATATGCCAACAAACCGACAAATCACTTATAGCGACCTGCCATCAAACTACATCAATCAAATCTAACGTTACCTAGCCAATTGAACATACCGTGATCACGAGCCAATCTAGCGTCGCTTAGCCGGTCTGATCTGACACACCTGTGCGTTGAGACCGAGTGCAGTCAACAACGACAAACAGGGTACTTGACCGTAGCAAGCCAGAGCGACCACCAGATAGAATGAGGCCGATAAACGGTCAGTCAGCTGTTTAAATACCCAGTGGCCAGACTTTTCCAGATTTTACTTTCTAAAGCTAATAGTTGTTTATGTCTTCTCTTTGCCATTTTTAAGCCAGATTAAATAAAATCGTTGAGCTACTAAACAGAGTTGTTTTTGTCGTTTCCAGCCTATTACAGTAGTCTGGAACCAAGTGGATTATGTAGTCTGGAACCAAGTGGATTATGTAGTCTGGAACCAAGTGGATAATGTAGTAGCACATTCTTGTTGAGACTGATTTAGTGGGGAGTGAACAGGGTCTGGTTGAGAGACTGATAGACTTGTAATCTAGTTACCACTGGCCCAGCCAGCAGAGAAACGCTTTGTTAGCTGCTCAAGAAGGGGATCAAGCAAATATTTAAATGTTATCATTTTTTAATTCATCCGTTTATCGGTTCATTCTTCCATCAATCCATTCATTCATTCTTCTACTGCCATATTTATTTTGTGTGCCACATATAACCACATTTCAGCAGCTTTAATCTTTCCCACACTTGTGTTTGCTCAAAGCCCATCTAAAGTTTGAAGTTGGAAGCATCGACTTGATTGCACAGAGCTTATTCCACCTGGCTCTGTCTCTCTCTGCAGAAAGCATCACACAAAGATTGAACCCCATAGATCATACAGTCTAGGAAATGAATCCATGAGCATGAGGCATAAAGCTTGACCATTCCCAGCAGAAACAGTAGTGGAGATTACACCTTACACTTGACCTTTGGTGACCACACATGAGGCAGACAGCTTGACCATTCCCCTCAAAAACAGTAGTGGGGATTACACCTTACACTTGACCTTTGGTGACCACACATGAGGCAGATATCTTGACCATTGCTTCACCTTTGGTGGCCAAACATGGGGCAGATAGCTTGACCATTGCTTCACTTTTGGTGGCCACACATGAGACAGATAGCTTGACCTTTGGTGGCCACACATGAGGCAGATAGCTTGACCATTGCTTCACCTTTGGTGGCCAAACATAAGGCAGATATCTTGACCATTGCTTCACCTTTGGTGGTCACACATGAGGCAGATAGCTTGACCATTGCTTCACTTTTGGTGGCCACACATGAGGCAGATAGCTTGACCATTGCTTCACTTTTGGTGGCCACACATGAGGCAGATAGCTTGACCATTGCTTCACTTTTGGTGGCCACACATGAGGCAGATAGCTTGACCATTGCTTCACTTTTGGTGGCCACACATGAGGCAGATAACGACCATTGCTTCACCTTTGGTGGCTGCACATGAGGCAGATAGCTTGACCATTGCTTCACCTTTGGTGGCCACACATGAGGCAGATAGCTTGACCATTGCTTTACCTTTGATGGCCACACATGAGACAGACAGCTTGACCATTGCTTCACCTTTGATGGCCACACATGAGACAGACAGCTTGACTATTGCTTCACCTTTGATGGCCACACATGAGACAGACAGCTTGACCATTCACCACAGAAACAGTAGTGGAGATTACACCTTACACTTGACCATTGCTTTACCTTTGGTGATCACATAGTTGTGTAGATAGATGTCTAAGGATGATTCATAGTGAAACCATCCTTCCTTGAGTGTGCAAAGCTGTGTGAACGTATGAAGCTGATCGATAAAACCATCCTTCTGCATGTATTTGGTCTGGAACAGGCGTCAACGGTCATGACTTTCCAGTCATCCCTGTTACTTGTTATTTGCATGATGCTGGCATTACTTATTTTGTCCTTTGTTGCCAGTTTGTAAAAACTCTGCCAATACATCTTTTTTTTATATTTTCCTCTGCCTTTTTTTTTTTTGAATATCAAATTATTAGACAGGCATACATGGTTAATTCTAAACCTTTCAAACATTACCTAAATTCATTTGTTTGCTTGTTCATTCATTTTCACACTTAGTGTTTTTTCTATGTACAGCTATTAAAATGATTACAGGTTAAAATTCATTAAAAAAAACTGTTAAGTAAATTTTAAAAAATTGTAATTGTAATATTTATAATTTGCTAGAGTATCTTAATGTTAATCCCAAATGTTAAAATTCTTTTCTTTGTTTTTCATGTTATTCAGATACAAATAATCTTCATCACATTATCATTTTATTGATTATTTTATAACATGTTTTAAATTTTTTAAATAACAGCTACAGAATTCTTTAAGCTTTTTTCTGGAGACTGTTGAACTATTGCCGCCCGAACTTCAGGAAGTAGCAAAATTTGGACGTCCACTGGAGCCAACTGATGAAACTGGAAAAACTCTTTCTGTAAAAGAATTTGCTCAGGTATGGAATGTGGGCTGAGTGTTTTTCTCTTTCTTTTGTCTCATTTGTCCTTGCTGTGAAATCTTCCTGCACAATAAAGCAAGCACATCTCTTAAGGATTTGAGAATCATTTCCTCGCATTCTAGAGCCTTATTTTAGGGGCAACAAGACTAGTCCTACTATCCCTTAAGAAATGTATCATAAATGCTAAATTATTAGAGGTTTACTGAAATCGGATGTTTTGGGGTGATAGACGCAGATACTGCAGTTTAGCTGTAAACCACAAGACAGCATACCGACCACTTTTTTAAGGATAATGCAGAAAAAAAAAATCAGTGCAGATGTAAAGAAGAACGCTTAAAACTGAAAGTCCAGTGCACAAATGGCAGTCTCAGGCACATAGACTGCACGCACACATTGACACTGTTTTACTAAAGCTGATTTTCTCTCAGAAATCTCCTCTCTATACCTTGCTGTTTGAGGCCTTTTGCAAATTGCGCCAGTCCATCTCTGACTATCTGCCTCCATAGTCAGTCTGCAGATGATCTCGCTACCTGACTGATGGAACATCATGGTACAAGGTAATAACATGACTCGGGGACTGTTTTAGCTGAGTGGCCATCATGTTTATCTGTCACCTCGGTAGTCATGTGTTTGAAACCTGGTGAGGTGGTAAATGTTTACAAACTGGTCTGGACTCCCAGTCTGGCACTTTTTAAAATTGTTCTAGGACGCAAAAGTAACTAGTGGGATATTCACCACATTACCCATCCAACACCAGTCAGTCTCTAGAAATAAGGTACTGGTGCCATTTAGCCATGCACTTCAAGGTGTGTCAGTGGACTCCTAACTTCAGTGGTTAAGCAGTTTCCCTCATACTCTGAAGCATATGAGTTCATTTCTGGACTGCAAATTTCAGTTCACAAGTGTCGTTTTGTGTTTTTGAAAGATCATATCTTAAGCTAGAGAGTGCATGCTTTATGTGACCTTGACAGTAGAGGGTCTGCTAGTCTGCTAGGTGAGACTAAGTCTTGTGTGACCTTGACAGTAGAGGGTCTGCTAGTCTGCAAGGAGAGACTAAGTCTTGTGTGACAAAACGCAGTGCAGGAAAGTCGATCCTCACATCTTCTTTAGAACCATTTTGCTGTCTAAGAATTATTTAAATTACATTTCAGTATGCCAGTTTGTCTTTAAAAATAATTACATATCAGTGGCAATAATTTTTGTGACTCTTGTGTTTTACATGGCTGCCTCAGTACATCAGCTTATTTGTGGAGGACCTGCCATCGGAGATATTTAATCTCTTCATGGTCCACATGTCAAAATGTGCTGCTACTCAAAACGCTTCTGCAGACAGAGAAAATAGGAGGATAATTCTGACCAACCTATTTTTGATCTGTGATTATGGCGTGGTAAGAATTTCAGTAAATGTGTTTGGTCAAGTTAAGAGATTTTTTTGTTGTAGAAATTGCTAATATTTTAAGTAGACCATTATAATTGTATGTTAGTTTTACATTCAGATACACTTGTTACTGTGTCATCTTTAATGTTTCTTTCACTGGTATATTAGCTATTATATAATCTATTATTGTATTACCTATTATATTAGCTATTAATTTATATATATTCTAATATTTACTATTATCTAATTTTTTAATTATATAAACTATTATATTATATATTATTATATTAACTATTATATTAGCTATTATACTATATATTATTATATTAACTATTGTGTTAGCAAACATTTCTGTGTATATTATGTTGTAATCTACAGTGCTTTATTTCTTCTTTTTTTTTCTACATATAGTAGAATGTTATATGTCAACTCCTGTTGTGATTTTTTCTACATATAGTAGAATGTTATATTTCAACTCCTGTTGTGATTTTTTCTACATATAGTAGAATGTTATATTTCAACTCCTGTTGTGATTTTTTCTACATTTAGTAGAATGTTATATGTCAACTCCTGTTGTGATTTTTTCTACATATAGTAGAATGTTATATGTCAACTCCTGTTGTGATTTTTTCTACATATAGTAGAATGTTATATGTCAACTCCTGTTGTGATTTTTTCTACATATAGTAGAATGTTATATGTCAACTCCTGTTGTGATTTTTTAAAAATTCTGAATACTGGGCAGTGACTTTATTGAAAGCAGCGGTTCAAGATATAAATGCAATAATGCTCTCAGCTTGCTATCCATTAGTAGATAGCTTGCCATCCATCAGTAGACAGCTTGCCATCCACCAGTAGACAGCTTGCCATCCATCAGTAGACAGCTTGCCATCCACCAGTAGACAGCTTGCCATCCATCAGTAGATAGCTTGCCATCCACCAGTAGATAGCTTGCCATCCATCAGTAGATAGCTTGCCATCCACCAGTAGACAGCTTGCCATCCACTAGTAGACAGCTTGCCATCCACCAGTAGACAGCTTGCCATCCACCAGTAGATAGCTTGCCATCCATCAGTAGATAGCTTGCCATCCATCAGTAGACAGCTTGCCATCCATCAGTAGATAGCTTGCCATCCATCAGTAGATAGCTTGCCATCCACCAGTAGACAGCTTGCCATCCATCAGTAGACATCTTGCCATCCATCAGTAGATAGCTTGCCATCCATCAGTAGATAGCTTGCCATCCATCAGTAGAAAACTTGCTATCCACCAGTAGATAGCTTGCCATCCACCAGTAGACAGCTTGCCATCCATCAGTAGATAGCTTGCTATCCACCAGTAGATAGCTTGCCATCCATCAGTAGATAGCTTGCCATCCATCAGTAGATAGCTTGCCATCCATCAGTAGATAGCTTGCCATCCATCAGTAGACAGCTTGCCATCCATCAGTAGATAGCTTGCCATCCACCAGTAGACAGCTTGCCATCCACCAGTAGACAGCTTGCCATCCATCAGTAGATAGCTTGCCATCCATCAGTAGACAGCTTGCCATCCATCAGTAGACAGCTTGCCATCCATCAGTAGACAGCTTGCCATCCATCAGTAGACAGCTTGCCATCCATCAGTAGACAGCTTGCCATCCATCAGTAGATAGCTTGCCATCCATCAGTAGATAGCTTGCCATCCATCAGTAGACAGCTTGCCATCCACCAGTAGACAGCTTGCCATCCATCAGTAGATAGCTTGCCATCCATCAGTAGACAGCTTGCCATCCATCAGTAGACAGCTTGCCATCCATCAGTAGATAGCTTGCTATCCACCAGTAGATAGCTTGCCATCCATCAGTAGATAGCTTGCTATCCACCAGTAGACAGCTTGCCATCCATCAGTAGATAGCTTGCTATCCATCAGTAGATAGCTTGCCATCCATCAGTAGATAGCTTGCCATCCACCAGTAGACAGCTTGCCATCCATCAGTAGACAGCTTGCCATCCACCAGTAGACAGCTTGCCATCCATCAGTAGATAGCTTGCCATCCACCAGTAGATAGCTTGCCATCCATCAGTAGATAGCTTGCCATCCACCAGTAGACAGCTTGCCATCCACTAGTAGACAGCTTGCCATCCACCAGTAGACAGCTTGCCATCCACCAGTAGACAGCTTGCCATCCACTAGTAGACAGCTTGCCATCCACCAGTAGACAGCTTGCCATCCACCAGTAGATAGCTTGCCATCCACCAGTAGATAGCTTGCCATCCATCAGTAGATAGCTTGCCATCCATCAGTAGATAGCTTGCCATCCATCAGTAGACAGCTTGCCATCCATCAGTAGACAGCTTGCCATCCATCAGTAGATAGCTTGCTATCCACCAGTAGATAGCTTGCCATCCATCAGTAGATAGCTTGCCATCCATCAGTAGATAGCTTGCTATCCACCAGTAGACAGCTTGCCATCCATCAGTAGATAGCTTGCTATCCACCAGTAGACAGCTTGCCATCCATCAGTAGATAGCTTGCTATCCACCAGTAGACAGCTTGCCATCCATCAGTAGATAGCTTGCTATCCACCAGTAGATAGCTTGCCATCCATCAGTAGATAGCTTGCTATCCACCAGTAGACAGCTTGCCATCCATCAGTAGATAGCTTGCTATCCACCAGTAGACAGCTTGCCATCCATCAGTAGATAGCTTGCTATCCACCAGTAGACAGCTTGCCATCCATCAGTAGATAGCTTGCTATCCACCAGTAGATAGCTTGCCATCCATCAGTAGATAGCTTGCTATCCACCAGTAGATAGCTTGCCATCCATCAGTAGATAGCTTGCCATCCATCAGTAGATAGCTTGCCATCCATCAGTAGATAGCTTGCCATCCATCAGTAGATAGCTTGCCATCCACCAGTAGACAGCTTGCCATCCATCAGTAGACATCTTGCCATCCATCAGTAGATAGCTTGCCATCCATCAGTAGATAGCTTGCCATCCATCAGTAGAAAACTTGCTATCCACCAGTAGATAGCTTGCCATCCACCAGTAGACAGCTTGCCATCCATCAGTAGATAGCTTGCTATCCACCAGTAGATAGCTTGCCATCCATCAGTAGATAGCTTGCCATCCATCAGTAGATAGCTTGCCATCCATCAGTAGACAGCTTGCCATCCATCAGTAGACAGCTTGCCATCCATCAGTAGATAGCTTGCCATCCATCAGTAGATAGCTTGCCATCCATCAGTAGATAGCTTGCCATCCATCAGTAGATAGCTTGCCATCCATCAGTAGATAGCTTGCCATCCATCAGTAGACAGCTTGCCATCCATCAGTAGATAGCTTGCCATCCATCAGTAGATAGCTTGCCATCCATCAGTAGATAGCTTGCCATCCATCAGTAGACAGCTTGCCATCCATCAGTAGATAGCTTGCCATCCATCAGTAGATAGCTTGCCATCCATCAGTAGATAGCTTGCTATCCACCAGTAGATAGCTTGCCATCCATCAGTAGATAGCTTGCCATCCACCAGTAGACAGCTTGCCATCCATCAGTAGACAGCTTGCCATCCACCAGTAGACAGCTTGCCATCCATCAGTAGATAGCTTGCCATCCATCAGTAGATAGCTTGCCATCCATCAGTAGATAGCTTGCCATCCATCAGTAGACAGCTTGCCATCCATCAGTAGATAGCTTGCCATCCATCAGTAGATAGCTTGCCATCCATCAGTAGATAGCTTGCCATCCACCAGTAGACAGCTTGCCATCCATCAGTAGATAGCTTGCCATCCACCAGTAGATAGCTTGCCATCCATCAGTAGATAGCTTGCCATCCATCAGTAGACAGCTTGCCATCCATCAGTAGATAGCTTGCCATCCATCAGTAGATAGCTTGCCATCCATCAGTAGATAGCTTGCCATCCACCAGTAGACAGCTTGCCATCCATCAGTAGATAGCTTGCCATCCATCAGTAGATAGCTTGCCATCCATCAGTAGATAGCTTGCCATCCACCAGTAGACAGCTTGCCATCCATCAGTAGATAGCTTGCCATCCATCAGTAGATAGCTTGCCATCCATCAGTAGATAGCTTGCCATCCACCAGTAGACAGCTTATCCATCAGTAGATAGCTTGCCATCCATCAGTAGATAGCTTGCCATCCACCAGTAGATAGCTTGCCATCCATCAGTAGATAGCTTGCCATCCATCAGTAGATAGCTTGCCATCCATCAGTAGATAGCTTGCCATCCATCAGTAGATAGCTTGCCATCCATCAGTAGACAGCTTGCCATCCATCAGTAGATAGCTTGCCATCCACCAGTAGATAGCTTGCCATCCACCAGTAGATAGCTTGCCATCCACCAGTAGATAGCTTGCCATCCACCAGTAGATAGCTTGCCATCCACCAGTAGATAGCTTGCCATCCACCAGTAGATAGCTTGCCATCCATCAGTAGATAGCTTGCCATCCATCAGTAGATAGCTTGCCATCCACCAGTAGATAGCTTGCCATCCATCAGTAGATAGCTTGCCATCCATCAGTAGACAGCTTGCCATCCATCAGTAGATAGCTTGCCATCCATCAGTAGATAGCTTGCCATCCATCAGTAGACAGCTTGCCATCCATCAGTAAATAGCTTGCCATCCACCAGTAGATAGCTTGCCATCCATCAGTAGACAGCTTGCCATCCACCAGTAGACAGCTTGCCATCCATCAGTAGACAGCTTGCCATCCACCAGTAGATAGCTTGCCATCCATCAGTAGATAGCTTGCCATCCATCAGTAGATAGCTTGCCATCCATCAGTAGATATGTAATTTAACTCCAGTAGCCATTGTTGAAAACCACAAACATGACTAGGGGGCAGGAAAGATGATTGACAGTTATAAACAGCAACTTTACTTTTGCCTGCCAATGGCTGTCAGAGTTTATAGATTTTATAAAGAATTGAACCCTTGAAACATATAACTCATTGACTCAGTGACTGTGTTGGTTCACGGCTGCTTATTCAATATACTGAAAGTTAACCTCTATGTCTGGAGGTCAATGCACCATTTGCCACCTGTTGGACATGTTTGGCATGGGGGGAGGCTGCACGAATATTATTGTAAATTCAAAAAAATGTTTTTCCTTAATAAATTTAAATAATGCGGACACGAACAATACAAGGCACAATTTATTGCCAGTCATATTTCACTGCATCTCGTCAGAGTTACTTCAGCATAAAGTAAAGCACACACAAAAACCGAATAAATCCAACTAAAATGCGAATAGTTTCATTCTGACGCATCATGATGTGTTTTGGCCGCCAGAAGTTCAAAGTAGTCACGTGACTTACCAGGGTAACTTCAGATTTACTGTAAGTTCTATGTGTTTTCAAAGGAGGGGGTTGTTGATTGTAATTGTTAAAGCTTCTGCCATTCTTAACAGTTGCCTGTATGGTGTGTGATAAACCATGCAGAAAGCACTGTCTGTGTCAATTAAGTGTCAGAACTTAAGTACATGACGTCCTATTGAAGAAGTAGGTTCTATCCTCTTGACTGGTGTGAACACCCTTTAAGAATCACTGAGCTGAGTATGTAGCCATTTGGGTATGTGCTCTGCCACTCTATTTCTAAGCTGTCTGTCCGTTCGACTTATATAAGTCTTACATTACATATGACACATGAAATGCTACTGAGAGTAGAAGAAAAAAGAAAGAAGAAATACAGCACTGTAGATTACAACATAATATACACTGGCATTTTTGCTAATACAACAGTTAATATAATAATATATAATATAAAAGCAAATACAATAGTTATTATAATAATATATAGTATAATAGCAAATACAATAGTTAATATAGTAATATATATTATGACAGCTAACAATAGTATGCAGAAACAACAAACATCCCTTGAAGCTACAGAGGCCGGTTGAAAACAGTAATTGATTGGCTGGTTAAGAGCCTGGTTGACAAGTCATGAATCTGGTTGTTTGCTTCTGGTGGGTGGCTGTTTGCTGCCAACCAGGGATTCTGATTAGGGTTCTTGTATCTAACACAGTCGCAGCATTCTTTTTCTTTTCTTGTTCTATTGTACCCCTTTCTGTTCTCATTTGTTCGCATTTCTTTTCATTTACCATGTGTGTTACATCTTGTATGTTTGTTTTCGCTCATGTTTAAATTGTACAATTTTTGTTTAGTGATTCTTTGATATTTAAAAAATACTTATTGAAATGTGTGCGTGTTTCCTGTCCCTTCATTGAGTTTCTTAGTCATCTTTGGTGTCCAGTTATTAAGCTTCAGATTAATCTCATCAGACTCTTCTGTAGGAGTGACCATAAGAGATAAGATCAGGAATGAGATCATAAGAGAAAAAGTCGGCACAGAACCAATTCTAAATTACATACGAAGGCAGCAAGTGAAATGGTTTGCCCACTTAGAGAGAATGCCTTGTTACACCATACCATACAAAGCATACATGGAAAGAGAAGAAGGACGTAGAGCACAGGGTAGACCAAGAACAAGATGGAAGGATAACATCAGAGAAGCTCTACAACAGCACGATGTGCCTATGGTCGAGGCAGCCAGAAGAGCTAGAAACAGAACCTTATATCTCCCTCCACACCCACAACGGTAAAAGAGGAAGTGAAGAAGAAGAAGATGGTCGAGGCAGCCAGAAGAGCTAGAAACAGAACCTTATATCTCCCTCGACACCAACAGCGGTAAAAGAGGAAGTGAAGAAGAAGAAGATGGTCGAGGCAGCCAGAAGAGCTAGAAACAGAACCTTATATCTCCCTCGACACCCACAGCGGTAAAAGAGGAAGTGAAGAAGAAGAAGATGGTCGAGGCGGCCAGAAGAGCTAGAAACAGAACCTTATATCTCCCTCGACACCCACAGCGGTAAAAGAGGAAGTGAAGAAGAAGAAGGAGAAGACTATTCTGTCATCTAATTCTTGCAGTTTTCTCATTGGTACAATCAATCATTTCCATTTTTTCAGCTCCGCTTTATGATAGCTGATCGAAAGGTACCAGAGTTTTCATTTGATTTCTTTGATCGTTTTTATTTCAAATTTTGTTGTCAGAATTCTTGTATTAGATATTCCTAATTATGTTTATGAATAACAGTATTATTCATCAATAATTACATTTGTTTTGGAGTTGTTGTTTGTGTGTGTGTGTGTAAAATTGTGTTTGATAAAATATGTGAGAACAAAAAAGTATTATTATTCAAAGTTTTTTTTAATCTCTAGAATAGCAGTGCCAGAATAAATGTAACTTTCTCTGCAAGAGAGTAAATATTTGTCTGATGTAAAAATTTTTATAACCTGCAGGACTATACTAATGATATCAGATGAAAAATTTGAGGGCAGGCTTGAAACAGGAAGTAGTGACAACATTTTTAAAGATGAGTAGCTTGTTTTTATTGTGGAGATGGCACTTGGCTGACTGATCCAGTTTGATAATTTAGTTGTCACAAAATGCTAAAGTTAACTCTCTCACACTAGAAGGAGCACTATTGCCAGGTTGTACATGTTTGTGAAACACATATTTCTATTTTTTCCCCATTTATCCATAGCTTGGTTTGTTAGATCGAGTTCGGGTCATGATTCTCTTTGAAAAATTCTGGGATATGCTAATGCTGTCAAGGGAAGAACCAATGGCCACACTTCGGAATCCCCGAAGATGTAAGTCATTTACATGTCTATGTATAGATATTTATATTTTTTGTCATTGTCACAAAACCTAGATAGTACATCTACCACAGACTTTGTCTTCACGATAGTACCATCTACCACAGACTTTGTCTTTATGGTAGTACCATCTACCACAGACTTTGTCTTCATGGTAGTACCATCTACCACAGACTTTGCCTTCATGGTAGTACCATCTACCACAGACTTTGTCTTCATAATAGTACCATCTACCACAGACTTTGTCTTAATGGTAATACCATCTACCACAGACTTTGTCTTCATGGTAGTACCATCTACCACAGACTTTGTCTTCATGATAGTACCATCTACCACAGACTTTGCCTTCATGATAGTACCATCTACCACAGACTTTGCCTTCATGATAGTACCATCTACCACAGACTTTGTCTTCATGGTAGTACCATCTACCACAGACTTTGTCTTCATGGTAGTACCATCTACCACAGACTTTGTCTTCATGGTAGTACCATCTACCCCAGACTTTGTCTTCATGATAGTACCATCTACCACAGACTTTGTCTTAATGGTAGTACCATCTACCACAGACTTTGTCTTCATGGTAGTACCATCTACCACAGACTTTGTCTTCATGATAGTACCATCTACCACAGACTTTGTCTTCATGGTAGTACCATCTACCACAGACTTTGTCTTCATGATAGTACCATCTACCACAGACTTTGCCTTCATGGTAGTACCATCTACCACAGACTTTGCCTTTATGATAGTACCATCTACCACAGACTTTGTCTTCATGGTAGTACCATCTACCACAGACTTTGTCTTTATGGTCTAGTCTGTTGCTTCTAGTCTGCAGCCCAGTTCTCTTCATCTTCTTATCCTCTCCCATTGGAACGTAGGTCCACCGTACACAGGACTTGTTCATGGTTGTACTTTACAGCTAGTCCTCTTTGGCTTGCAGTAGCCAGCCTCACACCAGCCTCCATTAGTGGTGATTTACATTGTTGCTATTTTCGCTTTTCTTATGGACCTCACTTGCTCATGGGCAATACAAAGTCATGCAACCTGTTTATTTTCCTGTATACTGCAGTGTTTGCTAACTGTTTGCTATTTGCTGTACACTGTACTGTATAGTATCTGCTGTACTGTATACTGGTAACCACACTCTTTACTATACTGAATACTGTTTACTGTAATCTTACTGTATACTGTTTACTGTCCTGCATACAGTTTACTGTACTGTTTACTGCACTCTATACTGATATCTTACTGTATACTGATTACTGTACTGCATACGGCTTAATGTACTGTTTACTGTACTGTATACTGTTATCTTACTGTATACTGTTTACTGTAATGTATACTGTTTACTGTACTGTATACTGTTATCTTACTGTATACTGTATACTGTACTGTATACTGTTTACTGTGCTTTTTACTGTACTGCATACTGTTTACTGAACTGTATACTGTTATCTTACTGTATACTGTTTACTGTACTGCATACGGTTTACTGTACTGATTACTGTACTGCATACTGTTTACTATATTGCATATTGTTAACTGTATTGCATACTGTTTACTGTACTGTATATTGTTTACTGTACTGCATACGGTTTACTGTACTGATTACTGTACTGCATACGGTTTACTGTACTGATTACTGTACTGCCTACTGTTTACTATACTGCATATTGTTAACTGTATTGCATACTGTTTACTGTACTGTATATTGTTTACTGTACTGCATACCATCAACAGTCACTATGGTGTGTGAGTTATTACACAAAAATGTAAATAAAAGTAAGATCGATCATAAAATCATCAGGTCTATCAGCTTGTGGGCTGGTTGCAAAACTTTCTGGTCATCCTATTTCAGAATTGTCTGTCTTGTGTCTCTCTCTTCAATTCCCTGTATGTCTGCATCAGTAGATCTATGCCTGTATCGGTATTTCTATGCCTGCATCTGTAGATCTATGCCTGCATTGGTAGATCTATGCTTGCATCAGTAGATTTATGCCTGCATTGGTAGATCTATGCCTGCATCAGTAGATTTATGCTTGCATTGGTAGATCTATGCCTGCACCGGTATTTCTATGCCTGCATCTGTAGATCTATGCCTGCATCGGTAGATTTATGCCTGCATCCGCAGATTTATGCCTGTATCGGTAGATCTATGCTTGCAACAGTAGATCTATGCCTGCATTCGTAGATCTATGCCTGCATCAGTAGATTTATGCTTGCATCAGTAGATCTATGCCTGCATTGGTAGATCTATGCCTGCATCGGTAGATTTATGCCTGCATCAGTAGATTTATGCCTGCATCAGTATTTCTATGCCTGCATCGGTAGATTTATGCTTGCATCAGTAGATTTATGTCTGCATTGGTAGATCTATGCCTGCATCAGTAGATTTATGCCTGCATCGGTAAATTTATGTCTGCATTGGTAGATCTATGCCTGCATCGGTAGATTTATGCTTGCATCAGTAGATCTATGCCTGCATTGGTAGATCTATGCCTGCATCGGTAGATTTATGCCTGCATCGGTAGATTTATGTCCTCATCAATAATCTATGCCTGCATCAATAGGTCTATGCCTACAATGGTAGATCTATGCCTGCATCAATAGGTCTATGCCTACAATGGTAGATCTATGCCTGCATCAATAGGTCTATGCCTACAATGGTAGTTCTATGCCTGCATCAATAGGTCTATGCCTACAATGGTAGTTCTATGCCTGCATCAATAAATCTGTGCCTGCATCGGTAGATCTATGCCTGCATCAGTAGATTTATGTCTGCATGCATCGATCTATGCCTGAGTGCATTATCAATGTTGTCCTCAGTCTACCCCTTCCTCTTGTCAGTGTTTTAAGTGCTCTTTTTGATTTCTTCTTGGTAACTGACATGGCTGTAATGATTTTCAGGGCCAGTTGTGGAAGTTGAAGAGGTTGATGATATTTTATATGATGCATGGCAAGAGGAGCCTGACGGTGGAATTACACCAATGGAAGAGGAGGTACAGAACAAGCTGTTGGAAGCCATCAGAACAGCACTTCTTGAGGAAAGTGAGATTAATGCAGCCAAAGACGAAGCGGCCAAGGAGAAATGGAAACTGGAGCAGTTAGAACAGAAAAGTGCAGGATGTAAGTATGTCTTGGTCATCATTTACTTTTGCGATCACCAGCAAAACAAATGACATTTTTTTACCTTAAAGATCGACATTTCTAGCTAAGTATAATTAAAATAAATGGTTTAGTGTCTTTGTGTTTCTGTGCAATAATGAAAACTTTCCACCCATTTTGTCCATTCTGGTAACTGTGATTCTGTCCTTTTAAAGCTGGAAGTTTCCACCTTCTCATTATATTTAATTATTCTGTACACAGTACACTAATGCCTGGTTGGCCCTTTACATGTGATTATGGTAGACATTTGTAATGTATTCTTAGTCTACATGCAAACAATAGTTTTCTGCCTCTTTTATTCTCATACCTGTTCTTTGTTCATTTGTACAACTTGGGAAAGCCTGCTATCTCAAACATTGCTCTTTAGATCCTGAAGGCATACAAGTTAATTTTTTTCATTTAGTAAGGCTGCTGATATACTTTTATATACAGTCTGTTCATGTCTTTACTTGTAGGCATCAGTGTTAGAACAAGCAGCACACTGTTGCCAAAAGTCAACAAACAATTGCCAGAATGTTATACTGTAAACAAAAAATTAAAGACGGGAGGAATTATTTCTTGAAGTACAAGGAGACAAGTTTTCAGTAACATTTTGTGAAAAGACATCATGATTTTGTTGGGGGATATCAGTGGTAAAAACAACAAACAGGTAAAAACAACAGTCTTCCAAAGTCTGATTGGTAACAATGACTTTGTTGATCACATGATACTGGAGGGAGGGTGACTGATGTGCATTAATGAGACCGACTCCAAGAATGGTAACACAAAATAGTCTTGTAGCAATTTAGAGTTGCCTGGTAGTTGCTGCATTGTAATTAGCAAAAAAAGGGTCTGAGTTGAGTGGTCTTAGCCTTAGCTGGCATCTGGTCTTAGCCTGGTCTTAGCCTTGGCTGGCATCTGTTCTTAGCCTGGTCTTAGCCTTCCCTGGCATCTGGTCTTAGCCTTGGTGGCATCTGGTCTTAGCGACATCTGGTCTTAGCCTTAGCTGGCATCTGGTCTTAGCCTGGCCTTAGCCTTGGCTGGCATCTGGTCTTAGCCTTGGCTGGCATCTGTTCTTAGCATGGCCAAGCCTTGGCTGGCATCTGTTCTTAGCCTGGTCTTAGCGGCATCTGGTCTTAGCCTGGTCTTAGCCTTGGCTGGCATCTGTTCTTAGCTTGGTCTTAGCGGCATCTGGTCTTAGCCTGGTCTTAGCCTTGGCTGGCATCTGTTCTTAGCCTGGTCTTAGCCATGGCTGGCATCGGGTCTTAGCCTGGCCTTAGCCTTGGCTGGCATCTGTTCTTAGCCTGGTCTTAGCCGTGGCTGGCATCCGGTCTTAGCCTGGCCTTAGCCTTGGTGGCATCTGTTCTTAGCCTGGTCTTAGCAGCATCTGGTCTTAGCCTTGGCGGCATCTGGTCTTAGCCTGGCCTTAGCGGCATCTGGTCTTAGTCTGGCCTTAGCCTTGGTGACATCTAGTCTTAGCCTTGGAAGCATCTGGTCTTAGCATGGCCTTAACCTTGGTGGCATCTTGTCTTAGCCTGGCCTTAGCCTTGGTGGCATCTAGTCTTAGCCTGGCCTTAGCGGCATCTGGATGGTAGCATCTGGTCTTAGCCTGGCCTTAGCCTTGGCTCGCATCTGGTCTTAGCCTAGCCTTAGTCTTGATTGCATCTGGTCTTAGCCTGGCCTTAGCCTTAGTGGCATCAGGTCTTAGCCTTTGCGGCATCTGGTCTTAGCCTGGCCTTAGCCTTGCAGCATCTGGTCTTAGGCTGGCCTTAGCCTTGGTGGCATTTGGTCTTAGCGTTGGCGGCATCTGGTTTTAGCCTGGCCTTAGCCTTCCCTGGAATCTTGTCTAGGATTGAAGCTCCTGCAACATGCAGGAGCTTCTGCAGCATGTTTTACTTTGGGGTAAACAAGGCAGGCTAAGAGAGGGCTCATGATGCGTGGGAAATAACATGGTTTTAACAATACTGCACAACTTTCTGCAGTGGAGATGTGTCACCATGGGCTGTGAGACACATAACACAATATAACACTGTCATCAGGTAAGATGGAAGGACGCACCGGGGTGAAACCAGAGGGTCTGGCCGGCCCACTACACTCAGAGGAAAGACCAGATGAACAAATAACCGGATTGTGACTGGTACCATCAGTATTGGAACTCTGGGTTGGCTGCTGAAAATGAGGACGGAGCATGTATGGGAATGCCCTGAGTGCTGTGATGTCAATTCTTGACTCAACTCAACTCAACATGGAAAAAAGAAAAACAAAATTCTGAGTTGACTCCTTTGCTGTAGCAGGTTTCATATTATCCAACTAGTCTGGCTGTGGGCTCCATGCAGTCTTCAACAAGGGGCACAAGACCATGTTCAGAATATTTTGTCTGAAAAGAAGAAGAAAAGAGGGGGAGAGCTGGCCACCTCATCTCATCAGAACGTGGTCTAGCAGATGGTAAAGCCTAACACTTGAGGTTGATGAGAGGATTTTGGTCACTGGCATGAAGAAATGTTAAGGCTGTTGTTGTTTATAAGGAGAAAACCTGTAACTCACCTCGGACCCCAACAGTCTCTGTGATGGTTTAACAGAACCTCAGCAAGACTTCTGCCACATGACCTACACCACGCCTAAACTGAGCTGGCAGGGAATTGCAGAGTTGACTCCCCCCTCTCCCCCCCCCCCCATCCATCCCCCAAGAATGCAAAGCCTAGAAAACCTCTGGCACATCAGCACACCACCAATGCAAGGGTGACAACATCTACTTATGACTGATTTGGACAGTCAGTAAAGTCCAAGGGCTGATTCTCCTACTAAATGACAAGCATTGGTTCAGAAGTCTGAGAGATCTGCTAAATGACAAGCACTGGTTCAGAAGTCTGAGAGACCTGCTAAATGACAAGCATTGGTTCAGAAGTCTGAGAGATCTGCTAAATGACAAGCATTGGTTCAGAAGTCTGAGAGATCTGCTAAATGACAAGCATTGGTTCAGAAGTCTGAGAGACCTGCTAAATAACAAGCATTGGTTCAGAAGTCTGAGAGACCTGCTAAATGGAAACAACATACTTGATGACACAAAAGGTTCACATTGGCCACAGTCATACCAGAGATGGGATTCAAGTTTTCTTCCAAGTCAGAGTCCATCTGCCTGATAGTCGAGTAACCAACAGACTGCATAGAGATTAGTCAGATCTGAAAATGGATGAGCATGCAAAACTAAGATCATGGAAACAAGCCAAAGTCCAGAAATGGACACACAGACACAACCTTCTGCTAAATGTCACCGCCAGTGACTGCCTCTTCAAACTCAGTGACACTACCTGTCATGTGACCCTCTTGACTTCCTGTTACATCTGTTGTAATGAAAACAAAACCGAGTCTTGTTTCTGTCCCTTTGTTTCTAGACAGGGCAAAGCTCTACAAATACAATGTCACTGACTTCATGAACCTCATGCAGTATCCGTATCTTGACACCATGGAGGCATTCATCCGCAATTTTGATAATGCCGACGGAAAACTGACAATGGATCATGACCTGTATGCCAGCACTATAACGAAGACTGCCAGAGAGCGCAACAAAAATTATAGAGATGATTTATTGGACCTGAAGTCCACAGAGATGGCCAGTAGTGTATCTGTGAGTGAGCAAAGTAACGCAACTGACACTGGCTCCAAGAATGACCGTCGTTCTGTTAAGTCATCAGACAAGGCCAGAAAACAATCAAGGAAGTCTAGAGACAGAAATATGAATTCTAGAATACAAGAAAGTAGTTCACAAGGAAGGGAAGACATGTCTCGTTTGCGAATCAACAAGAACAACAACACTCTGGGAAGTCATGACACCTCCAGTGATGACGATAAAAGAGATGAAAGTAACTCTCACCGCACTAAAATGAAGATGTTGTTGAAGCAGAGGCAGGGGATGAATAGAAATGTCAATATTAGTAGTACTTCTGAAGAAAGCGGTGAAGAAGCAGAAGTCAGAGTTCGGCCTCAGCTAAAGTTCAGATGGCCATCATCCTTCAGCAGCGAGGAAGAATTACTGACATCAGCGTTGAAACCTAAAAGCAGCCGGACTTCTGAAACTCAGAGAACACATGCTGCAACCAGTATTCAAATGTTGCCACCCATTCAGATGCAAAGACATGTGGAAAAGGAACAGTGTAGTAAGATGCCAGTTTGGTTCTGATGCCTTATTTATTGTTCAGTTGGTAATGTTTGGAAGTTAAATTTTGAAATGTTATGTTGACATACTTCCTATTGTTTTTTTCATTTTAGTATTTAACTCGGAAGGAGTTTTTGTTTCAAAAATAAATCTGCTAAAACCCCCTTTTTTATGTATTTGGAATGCAATTGGAAAGAAAAGAAAAGATAAGCATTATAAATTATTCAAAACAGAGCAGGCAAGCTTTAAAAAAAAAACTATTCAAAACAGAGCAGATAAGCTTTAAAAACTATTAAAAACAGAGCAGATAAGCATTATAAACTATTAAAAACAGCGCAGATAAGCATTATAAGCTACTCAAAACGGAGCAGATATGCATTATAAACTATTCAAAACAGAGCAGATAAGCATTATAAACTATTCACAACGGAGCAGATATGCATTATAAACTATTCAAAACAGAGCAGATAAGCATTATAAACTATTCAAAACAGCACAGACAAGCATTGTAAGCTTCTCAAAATAGAGCAGATAAGCTTTATAAACTATCATTTATTACAGACAGTAAATGACAAGTATCAAAATAATTGGATTTAGACCAAAACAAGTGGTAGTTACAGAGAGCAAGCCAGTCATTTGCTCAAACCACATGACCTAGTTCTCTGTGTGAGACGCAGCACAGATCAGTTCTGGCCCCTGCCATCTTGTAGGAGAGGAGGACACAAGTTAATGGAGTTAATCTTAGACAAAAGGCACAGAGAAGTCACCACTATACATCTGTAATCAATTATCTGTGGACATTCCTGACACTGCAATACAAACTGGATCAGAGAAGTCACCACTATACATCTGTAATCAATTATCTGTGGACATTCCTGACACTGCAATACAAACTTGATCAGAGAAGTCACCACTATACATCTGTAATCAATTATCTGTGGACATTCCTGACACTGCAATACAAACTTGATCAGAGAAGTCACCACTATACATCTGTAATCAATTATCTGTGGACATTCCTGACACTGCAATACAAACTTGATCAGAGAAGTCACCACTATACATCTGTAATCAATTATCTGTGGACATTCCTGACACTGCAATACAAACTTGATCAGAGAAGTCACCACTATACATCTGTAATCAATTATCTGTGGACATCCCTGACACTGCAATACAAACTTGATCAGAGAAGTCACCACTATACATCTGTAATCAATTATCTGTGGACATCCCTGACACTGCAATACAAACTTGATCAGAGAAGTCACCACTATACATCTGTAATCAATTATCTGTGGACATCCCTGACACTGCAATACAAACTTGATCAGAGAAGAGCAGAGTTAACTGCCAGCATGGCTTTCTTGGATACATTCTTGTCCATCTTTTCTGCATGACACACAATGATATTTTGCTATACCTGTTGCTCAGGAAAGTTAATGAGTTAACCATACTCCTAAAGTAAACAGTTATCTCCTAGCGAGTGACCGCTTTTGTTTTCCATTGTTAATTTTACAGGAGTCTTTTCTTGTTGTATAACAGTTAGTTGTAAAATATTTTATTACAATATTTGTTTTGTTTAATTTATTGTTTTAAGTTGGAATTTTACTTCGAAGTCAGTTTCTGTTTGTTTTGTAATCAACAGCTGTTGATGTTCAGAAAGACAGAAAGGAAGGCGTAGCTTCTGGTGCATCTTTGGTCTATTATCTAACAGTCACAAATAAGTTATCAGATGAAGCAGAAATAGAAGAGGAAGAAAATTTTACTGCCATAGAAAGACAAGAGGAAAACAATGTAGCTGCTACAGAAATTAGAGAGGAAGGTTCATTAACTACAACAGAAATAGAAGAGGAAGAAAATTTAGCTGCCACAGAAGAACGAGAGGAAAACAATGTAGCTGCTACAGAAATTAGAGAGGAAGGTACATTAACTGCAACAGAAACAGGAGAGGAAGACATTTTAGCTGACAGAGACAGAAATGAAGACAAAGCTGCTGCAGAAGAAAGATATGAAAACAACTCAGCTTCTACAGAAACAGCAACTAATATAAACACAATAAAAGAGACCAAAGCAGCAGTGATAGAAACTGGTGCAGTAGAAGAGTTGGAAGTAGGAGATGAGACTGATCTAGCAGAAGCAGAAATATTCGAAAATAAGAATCTAATCAATGACGAAGAAGAAATAATGGAATTTAAAGCCTTTAGAAAGTCGCAGGAGTTGGCAGAACATTCAGAAGAGAACAAAAGTATTGAATCTGATACTGGGATCAATAGCCAGAAAGAATCTGCTGTAGAGGGAACAAGCGAAAAGGACTTTTTTATTGAGGACAGTTTGCAGGAGGAATCTATCTGTGACAAAGACATCAAGAATATATCCACTGCTGACAGAAAAAGAGGTAAGGGTGTAACTTTATATGCAGAAATTGCTTTGTTTTTTTCAGCAGGTCCACCTCCCTGTCCTCCTCCTCTTGCTGCTGTTTCCCCTGCTGCTGTTTCCCCTGCTGCTGTTGCTGCTGCTGCTGCTGCTTCATGCTGAAGAGTGAGTCATGTATTTAAAAAAAGGGTTTTGTCTGTAAAAGATGTTGCCAGTTTGGCAGTGCCAGTTTGAATATCAAGTATGAAACTGTATAGCTTAGATTGCTGTTTTCTGTATCCTATTTCTACCTTTGCTAGGCCCATGATCAACTCATGCCAGGTCCTTCTGAGATTGATTTGCAGCTGGTCAGATTTTTGTTTAGGTATGTTACTGTTGTTTGCATTTATTATGGACTTCAGTAACACACAGACAACAGCATCCTGTATTCACTGCCATTTCTGGTAGTCTGGTAGTCTTAGTTTCAGCTTCATAGCAACGGGTCGCCCCATCTTTGATCCGCTCCTGTGCCAACGAAAAACACTCAGAATGTTTATCACAGTTCCTTGTGGAAAGATTGACAGACTGCTGTCTCAGCATATCTAGCATACACTTGCATTAAAGCATACGGTAGCCATCCGAAGTGCTAACAAAACCAGTCCAACATTAGAAATGCAATTCATCATTGATGATAGCAGAACTTGTCGCCAACAGATCAGCAGTTGTCCGCGTGATCAATTTTAATCACATACGGGCACCGCCAACATTGCACGACCGGCATCACGCCATTTTCTGAATCTACAATTCACACCACCACGTTCGTCACAGTTGAAAATACATTCCAAATGCAATCCGCAGCTCACAGGGTCACGCCATGCATTCAACTCAGTAGCTGGGCGACGAAACTATATCCAGTCTACAAATGGAGCAAAAATACTTCGACCACTGTCCAGCAGAAGCAAAAAATTTGCCTCTGCTTCGAACAGCGCCACTGTCAAGCGTCCATTTTAACCAGAAATGTCTGTTATATTTACTGCTCTATATATACTTGTATGCAGAGAAATATTCTGGAGAACAGCCAGGTGTGTTCTCTATCTGTTCATGTTTATTTATTTCACAATTGACGTTTTGTTTGAGATTTTTGGTTTTCTTTTTGTTTCACTGTTCATTTCAGCCTTTTGATTAACCAGCTGAAGCATTAGAATGAGTGTAACGAATTAGAATGTGTGTGGAGAATTAGAATGTGTGTGGAGAATTAGAATGTGTGTGGAGAATTAGAATGTGTGTGGAGAATTATAATGTGTGTGTAGAATTAGAATGTGTGTGGAGAATTAGAATGTGTGTGGAGAATTAGAATGTGCGTGGAAAATTAAAATGTGTGTGGAGAATTAAGATGTGTGTGGAGAATTAGAATATGTGTGGAGAATTAGAATGTGTGTGGAGAATTATAATGTGTGTGGAGAATTAGAGTGTGTGTGGAGAATTAGAATGTGTGTGGAGAATTAAGATGTGTGTGGAGAATTAAGATGTGTGTGGAGAATTAAAATTTGTTTCAAGAATTAGAATGTGTGTGGAGAATTAAAATATGTGAAGAATGAGAATGTATATGTAGAATTAGAATGTGTGTGAAGAATTAAAATGCTTGTGAAGAATAAAAATATTTTGTGAAGAATTAGAATGTGTTTGTAGAATTAGAATGTGTGTGAAGAATTAAAATGTGCTTGTGAAGAATAAAAATAGTTAGTGAAGAATTAGAATGTACATGTAGAATTAGAATGTGTTTTGAGAATAAGTTATTTATAGAGACAAGTTATCACATCCTGGCTATAAACCACAATGCAATATGTCAGCTTCTAGGGATGAACAAAGAAAAGGAAGAAGGAGAGTAAATCTTTTTATATTAATTTTTGAATGGAACTATAGTCAGAAAATTGTTTATGTTGCAGTTTTTCACACCAGTTTTTGGACCAAATTGCCTGACAAGATGCAACATTTGTGGTACAGTTTCCTGTATATCTTTAGAGGGATTAACTGGCAGGATGTAACATTTTGGGACAGTTTCATGTACATGTCTGGAGTTATTAACTGGCAGGAAGTAACATCTATGGTAGAGCTAATTGTAGAGATGTTCCAGTTCAGTATTCTGACATACGAATAATTTCTGTGACCAAACATTTATTCACTTCACAGATGTGGATATCATGAAAGAATTGGTTGCCAGTCAGACCAAGATGCTCGCGTCAGGGACCTTCACCGCCGCCAGAGTACAAGAAAGCAAGTTCACTGGTAAGATCATTTCCTGTGTTAACTTTTCAGTGACAAACCTAGCTAGCAGACGTCCATCAGTTTCTACTTGTGACAGGTTTCTGTGTACAGTAAATGTAAATGTGCAGAAATGAAACCAAACTAAACGTTCTGAACCCCAGAAGCTAATAATTTGAACATCTGACTACTAAAACACTGCCCTTGCCGAAAGCAGCTTCATCTCCTTCCGTGCTCACCCTTAAGAGGGCAGTGGTATGTTGTGTTGAGGTTTACAGCTAGGCTGCAGTATGAGCACATTCTGTCCCAACTCATCCAGTTTTAACAAACCCATAATTAGTTGCCTTTTAGAACAAACAAAAAAACACTTTATTTTCAAAAGGTGACAAACTGGCCACTCAGGCCCATCTTAGAGTCACACATGCATCTGTCATACTACAATTGTATTTTGTCTTTAACACTTTCACTACCAGAAAGTTTCATAGGAGATACCAAAGTGATGAGATAATCATGATGCCAAATGATAAAGTCATTACTTTCAAATTAGTAATTCTCAAAGTTGTAGTGACCAGTAGGGGAAGCCAGATTTCTCTAGGATGTTCTGACTAAATAGTAAAAGTAAGAGAGCACACTATGCTATTTAGGGGAAGCCAGATTTCTCTAGGATGTTCTGACCAAATAGTAAAAGGAAGAGAGCACGCTATGCTATTTAGGGAAAGCCAGATTTCTCTAGGATGTTCTGACCAAATAGTAAAAGTAAGAGAGCACACTATGCTATCTAGGGGAAGCCAGATTTCTCTAGGATGCTCTGACCAAATAGTAAAAGTAAGAGAGCACACTATGCTATTTAGGGGAAGCCAGATTTCTCTAGGATGTTCTGACCAAATAGTAAAAGTACGAGAGCACACTATGCTATTTAGGGGTTGAATGTTAAATTAAGAATTGACATCACAGCACTCAGAACACACCCATAAGTGCTCCGTTCCCATCTTCAGCGGCAAGCGAAGAGTTAGAATTCTGATGGTACCAGTTACTGTCTGATTGTATATTCATCTCGTCTTTTCCCTGAGTGTCAAACGTTGGCCAGATCATCTTGTAACTCCTTGCAGTGCCATTCTCCTCAGACTGTAAGGATCTGTCTGTGCATCAGCATTGTTAACTCGTTCCCAAAATGTCCTCATAACATCCATCATTTCACTATAAAGTGGTGCAGAACCGGCCAGTCTACTGCTCATTTCCCAACACACTGGCATGACTGGAGAAAATATCCAAAGGATGCTAACTACCCAGGACCTGTGAAGTGATGCTTGCCACTCTGCACAGAGCATACCTGTCTCCAACTTTCTCAACATATTCTGTTAGTTACAATCACGGCATATGTGTACAGATTTCTCTAGTATGTTCAGACCAAACCGATGTTTCACCAGCTGCTCTCATGGCTGCTTGTTGTTCATGATAAAGATTTTCAATTAAATGCACCAAATGCGCTGGAAACCCCAGACTTCTCATAATAGTCCTCAGTTTCTGATGCTGGACACAATCAAATGCCTTGCTATAATCAATAAAACAAGCATGAAGATCTACGTTGTATTCTTTACATTTTTTAAAAATTATTCTTATATTAAAGATGTGATCCCTAGTTCCTCTGCCATGTCTGAAACCCGCTTGTGCTTCATGTAGCTCATATTTTAATTTTCTTTTAATCCTCTTGATGATTTTATAAAAGGATTTTGCTAGCATGACTTATTAATGTAATGGTACTGTAGTTGGAGCGTAGTTTCAGATTTCCTTTGACCTGTGAATAGTAAAATAAAAGGGAAATCTGTAGAACAGGACACAACAATGACCTGTGACCAGTAAAATAAAAAGTAAAGCTGTGGAACCCGACACAACAATGACCTGTGACCTGTGACCAGTAAAATAAAAGAGAAAACTGTAGAACAGGACACAACAATGACCTGTGACCTGTGACCTGTGACCAGTACAATAAAAGAGAAAACTGTAGAACAGAACACAACAATGACCTGTGACCTGTGACCAGTACAATAAAAGAGAAAACTGTAGAACAGGACACAACAATGACCTGTGACCTGTGACCTGTGACCAGTACAATAAAAGAGAAAACTGTAGAACAGGACACAACAATGACCTGTGACCTGTGACCAGTACAATAAAAGAGAAAACTGTAGAACAGGACACAACAATGACCTGTGACCTGTGACCAGTACAATAAAAGAGAAAACTGTAGAACAGGACACAACAATGACCTGTGACCAGTACAATAAAAGAGAAAACTGTAGAACAGGACACAACAATGACCTGTGACCTGTGACCTGTGACCAGTACAATAAAAGAGAAAACTGTAGAACAGAACACAACAATGACCTGTGACCTGTGACCAGTACAATAAAAGAGAAAACTGTAGAACAGAACACAACAATGACCTGTGACCTGTGACCTGTGACCAGTAAAATAAAAGATAAAACTGTAGAACAGGACACAACAATGACCTGTGGCCAGTAAAATAAAAGAGAAAACTGTAGAACAGAACACAACAATGACCTGTGACCTGTGACCTGTGACCAGTAAAATAAAAGATAAAACTGTAGAACAGGACACAACAATGACCTGTGACCTGTGACCAGTAAAATAAAAGAGAAAACTGTAGAACAGGACACAACAATGACCTGTGACCTGTGACCAGTGACCAGTAAAATAAAAGATAAAACTGTAGAACAGGACACAACAATGACCTGTGACCTGTGACCAGTAAAATAAAAGATAAAACTGTAGAACAGGACACAACAATGACCTGTGGCCAGTACAATAAAAGAGAAAACTGTAGAACAGAACACAACAATGACCTGTGACCTGTGACCTGTGACCAGTAAAATAAAAGATAAAACTGTAGAACAGGACACAACAATGACCTGTGACCTGTGACCAGTAAAATAAAAGAGAAAACTGTAGAACAGGACACAACAATGACCTGTGACCTGTGACCAGTGACCAGTAAAATAAAAGAGAAAACTGTAGAACAGGACACAACAATGACCTGTGACCTGTGACCAGTGACCAGTAAAATAAAAGAGAAAACTGTAGAACAGGACACAACAATGACCTGTGACCTGTGACCTGTGACCAGTAAAATAAAAGAGAAAACTGTAGAACAGGACACAACAATGACCTGTGACCTGTGACCAGTACAATAAAAGAGAAAACTGTAGAACAGGACACAACAATGACCTGTGACCAGTACAATAAAAGAGAAAACTGTAGAACAGGACACAACAATGACCTGTGACCTGTGACCTGTGACCAGTAAAATAAAAGAGAAAACTGTAGAACAGAACACAACAATGACCTGTGACCTGTGACCTGTGACCAGTAAAATAAAAGAGAAAACTGTAGAACAGGACACAACAATGACCTGTGACCAGTAAAATAAAAGAGAAAACTGTAGAACAGAACACAACAATGACCTGTGACCTGTGACCTGTGACCAGTACAATAAAAGAGAAAACTGTAGAACAGGACACAACAATGACCTGTGACCTGTGACCAGTACAATAAAAGAGAAAACTGTAGAACAGAACACAACAATGACCTGTGACCTGTGACCTGTGACCAGTAAAATAAAAGAGAAAACTGTAGAACAGAACACAACAATGACCTGTGACCTGTGACCTGTGACCAGTACAATAAAAGAGAAAACTGTAGAACAGGACACAACAATGACCTGTGACCAGTACAATAAAAGAGAAAACTGTAGAACAGAACACAACAATGACCTGTGACCTGTGACCTGTGACCAGTACAATAAAAGAGAAAACTGTAGAACAGGACACAACAATGACCTGTGACCAGTACAATAAAAGAGAAAACTGTAGAACAGGACACAACAATGACCTGTGACCTGTGACCAGTAAAATAAAAGAGAAAACTGTAGAACAGGACACAACAATGACCTGTGACCAGTACAATAAAAGAGAAAACTGTAGAACAGGACACAACAATGACCTGTGACCTGTGACCAGTACAATAAAAGAGAAAACTGTAGAACAGGACACAACAATGACCTGTGACCAGTAAAATAAAAGAGAAAACTGTAGAACAGGACACAACAATGACCTGTGACCTGTGACCAGTACAATAAAAGAGAAAACTGTAGAACAGGACACAACAATGACCTGTGACCAGTACAATAAAAGAGAAAACTGTAGAACAGGACACAACAATGACCTGTGACCTGTGACCAGTACAATAAAAGAGAAAACTGTAGAACAGAACACAACAATGACCTGTGACCTGTGACCTGTGACCAGTACAATAAAAGAGAAAACTGTAGAACAGGACACAACAATGACCTGTGACCTGTGACCAGTACAATAAAAGAGAAAACTGTAGAACAGAACACAACAATGACCTGTGACCTGTGACCTGTGACCAGTACAATAAAAGAGAAAACTGTAGAACAGGACACAACAATGACCTGTGACCTGTGACCAGTACAATAAAAGAGAAAACTGTAGAACAGAACACAACAATGACCTGTGACCTGTGACCAGTACAATAAAAGAGAAAACTGTAGAACAGAACACAACAATGACCTGTGACCTGTGACCAGTACAATAAAAGAGAAAACTGTAGAACAGGACACAACAATGACCTGTGACCAGTAAAATAAAAGAGAAAACTGTAGAACAGGACACAACAATGACCTGTGACCTGTGACCAGTACAATAAAAGAGAAAACTGTAGAACAGGACACAACAATGACCTGTGACCTGTGACCTGTGACCAGTAAAATAAAAGAGAAAACTGTAGAACAGGACACAACAATGACCTGTGACCAGTACAATAAAAGAGAAAACTGTAGAACAGAACACAACAATGACCTGTGACCTGTGACCTGTGACCAGTACAATAAAAGAGAAAACTGTAGAACAGGACACAACAATGACCTGTGACCAGTACAATAAAAGAGAAAACTGTAGAACAGGACACAACAATGACCTGTGACCTGTGACCTGTGACCAGTACAATAAAAGAGAAAACTGTAGAACAGGACACAACAATGACCTGTGACCAGTACAATAAAAGAGAAAACTGTAGAACAGGACACAACAATGACCTGTGACCAGTACAATAAAAGAGAAAACTGTAGAACAGGACACAACAATGACCTGTGACCAGTACAATAAAAGAGAAAACTGTAGAACAGGACACAACAATGACCTGTGACCAGTACAATAAAAGAGAAAACTGTAGAACAGGACACAACAATGACCTGTGACCTGTGACCAGTAAAATAAAAGATAAAACTGTAGAACAGAACACAACAATGACCTGTGACCTGTGACCTGTGACCAGTAAAATAAAAGATAAAACTGTAGAACAGAACACAACAATGACCTGTGACCTGTGACCTGTGACCAGTAAAATAAAAGATAAAACTGTAGAACAGGACACAACAATGACCTGTGACCTGTGACCAGTAAAATAAAAGAGAAAACTGTAGAACAGGACACAACAATGACCTGTGACCAGTACAATAAAAGAGAAAACTGTAGAACAGAACACAACAATGACCTGTGACCTGTGACCTGTGACCAGTACAATAAAAGAGAAAACTGTAGAACAGGACACAACAATGACCTGTGACCAGTGACCTGTGACCAGTACAATAAAAGAGAAAACTGTAGAACAGGACACAACAATGACCTGTGACCAGTACAATAAAAGAGAAAACTGTAGAACAGGACACAACAATGACCTGTGACCTGTGACCTGTGACCAGTACAATAAAAGAGAAAACTGTAGAACAGGACACAACAATGACCTGTGACCAGTACAATAAAAGAGAAAACTGTAGAACAGGACACAACAATGACCTGTGACCTGTGACCAGTAAAATAAAAGATAAAACTGTAGAACAGGACACAACAATGACCTGTGACCTGTGACCTGTGACCAGTAAAATAAAAGATAAAACTGTAGAACAGGACACAACAATGACCTGTGACCTGTGACCTGTGACCAGTAAAATAAAAGATAAAACTGTAGAACAGAACACAACAATGACCTGTGACCTGTGACCAGTACAATAAAAGAGAAAACTGTAGAACAGAACACAACAATGACCTGTGACCTGTGACCTGTGACCAGTAAAATAAAAGATAAAACTGTAGAACAGAACACAACAATGACCTGTGACCTGTGACCAGTACAATAAAAGAGAAAACTGTAGAACAGGACACAACAATGACCTGTGGCCTGTGACCAGTACAATAAAAGAGAAAACTGTAGAACAGGACACAACAATGACCTGTGACCTGTGACCAGTACAATAAAAGATAAAACTGTAGAACAGGACACAACAATGACCTGTGACCTGTGACCAGTACAATAAAAGAGAAAACTGTAGAACAGAACACAACAATGACCTGTGACCTGTGACCAGTACAATAAAAGAGAAAACTGTAGAACAGGACACAACAATGACCTGTGACCAGTAAAATAAAAGAGAAAACTGTAGAACAGGACACAACAATGACCTGTGACCTGTGACCTGTGACCAGTACAATAAAAGAGAAAACTGTAGAACAGAACACAACAATGACCTGTGACCAGTACAATAAAAGAGAAAACTGTAGAACAGAACACAACAATGACCTGTGGCCTGTGACCTGTGACCAGTACAATAAAAGAGAAAACTGTAGAACAGAACACAACAATGACCTGTGGCCAGTACAATAAAAGAGAAAACTGTAGAACAGGACACAACAATGACCTGTGACCAGTACAATAAAAGAGAAAACTGTAGAACAGGACACAACAATGACCTGTGACCTGTGACCAGTAAAATAAAAGAGAAAACTGTAGAACAGAACACAACAATGACCTGTGACCTGTGACCTGTGACCAGTAAAATAAAAGAGAAAACTGTAGAACAGGACACAACAATGACCTGTGACCAGTAAAATAAAAGAGAAAACTGTAGAACAGAACACAACAATGACCTGTGACCTGTGACCTGTGACCAGTACAATAAAAGAGAAAACTGTAGAACAGGACACAACAATGACCTGTGACCTGTGACCAGTAAAATAAAAGAGAAAACTGTAGAACAGAACACAACAATGACCTGTGACCTGTGACCTGTGACCAGTAAAATAAAAGAGAAAACTGTAGAACAGAACACAACAATGACCTGTGACCTGTGACCAGTAAAATAAAAGAGAAAACTGTAGAACAGAACACAACAATGACCTGTGACCTGTGACCTGTGACCAGTAAAATAAAAGAGAAAACTGTAGAACAGAACACAACAATGACCTGTGACCTGTGACCAGTAAAATAAAAGAGAAAACTGTAGAACAGAACACAACAATGACCTGTGACCAGTGACCTGTGACCAGTAAAATAAAAGAGAAAACTGTAGAACAGAACACAACAATGACCTGTGACCTGTGACCTGTGACCAGTAAAATAAAAGATAAAACTGTAGAACAGGACACAACAATGACCTGTGACCAGTAAAATAAAAGATAAAACTGTAGAACAGGACACAACAATGACCTGTGACCAGTACAATAAAAGAGAAAACTGTAGAACAGGACACAACAATGACCTGTGACCAGTACAATAAAAGAGAAAACTGTAGAACAGGACACAACAATGACCTGTGACCAGTACAATAAAAGAGAAAACTGTAGAACAGGACACAACAATGACCTGTGACCAGTACAATAAAAGAGAAAACTGTAGAACAGGACACAACAATGACCTGTGACCAGTAAAATAAAAGATAAAACTGTAGAACAGGACACAACAATGACCTGTGACCAGTACAATAAAAGAGAAAACTGTAGAACAGGACACAACAATGACCTGTGACCAGTACAATAAAAGAGAAAACTGTAGAACAGGACACAACAATGACCTGTGGCCAGTACAATAAAAGAGAAAACTGTAGAACAGGACACAACAATGACCTGTGACCAGTACAATAAAAGAGAAAACTGTAGAACAGGACACAACAATGACCTGTGACCTGTGACCAGTACAATAAAAGAGAAAACTGTAGAACAGGACACAACAATGACCTGTGACCAGTACAATAAAAGAGAAAACTGTAGAACAGAACACAACAATGACCTGTGACCTGTGACCTGTGACCAGTAAAATAAAAGAGAAAACTGTAGAACAGAACACAACAATGACCTGTGACCTGTGACCAGTACAATAAAAGAGAAAACTGTAGAACAGGACACAACAATGACCTGTGACCTGTGACCTGTGACCAGTAAAATAAAAGAGAAAACTGTAGAACAGGACACAACAATGACCTGTGACCTGTGACCAGTACAATAAAAGGGAAAACTGTAGAACAGGACACAACAATGACCTGTGACCAGTACAATAAAAGGGAAAACTGTAGAACAGAACACAACAATGACCTGTGACCTGTGACCAGTACAATAAAAGGGAAATCTGTAGAACAGGACACAACAATGACCTGTGACCTGTGACCTGTGACCAGTACAATAAAAGGAAAACTGTAGAACAGAACACAACAATGACCTGTGACCAGTAAAATAAACAGGAAAACTGTAGAACCAGACTGAAGTGCATGAGTTTTTGACCTTGACCTGTATTTCAGACAGGGCTGATGTCCCAGTGGCAGATCATATTCTGGAGTTGCTGGAAGATGACAACAAGAACAGGAATGTTGAGGACAGTAATGTCAACAGTTGCACACGTGCACGTGTCATTAGTAAGTCAGGTTTCATTAATCAGTCATGTGTCATTAGTAAGTCAGGTCTCATTAATCAGTCATGTGTCATTAGAAAGTCAGGTCACATTAATCAGTCATGTGTCATTAGTAAGTCAGGTCTCATTAATCAGTCACATGTCATTAGTAAGTCAGGTCTCATTAATCAGTCACGTGTCATTAGTAAGTCAGGTCTCATTAATCAGTCACGTGTCATTAGTAAGTCAGATCTCATTAATCAGTCACGTGTCATTAGTAAGTCAGGTCTCATTAATCAGTCACGTGTCATTAGTAAGTCAGGTCTCATTAATCAGTCACGTGTCATTAGTAAGTCAGGTCTCATTTATCAGTCATGTGTCATTAGTAAGTCAGGTCTCATTATTCAGTCATGTGTCATTAGTAAGTCAGGTCTCATTTATCAGTCATGTGTCATTAGTAAGTCAGGTCTCATTATTCAGTCATGTGTCATTAGCAAGTCAGGTCTCAATAATCAGTCACGTGTCATTAGTAAGTCAGGTCTCATTAATCAGTCACGTGTCATTAGTAAGTCAGGTCTCATTAATCAGTCACGTGTCATTAGAAAGTCAGGTCTCATTATTCAGTCATGTGTCATTAGTAAGTCAGGTCTCATTAATCAGTCAGGTGTCATTAGAAAGTCAGGTCTCATTATTCAGTCACGTGTCATTAGTAAGTCAGGTCTCATTAATCAGTCATGTGTGATTAGATCAGACAGACATCATGAATCAGTCTTGTGTGATTAGGTCAGATGCCATTAATCAGCGGTGTGTGATTAGGTCGAATGTCATTAATCAGCCATATGTGATTAGGTCAAATGTCTTAATCTTTTAAGTGTGAATAGATCAAATGCCATGAATCAGTTGTGAATGATTAGGTCAAATGTCATTAATCAATCAAATGTGATTTATCTCTGACTTATCTCTGAGATTTTGAGCAGTCTGAGACTCTTATCTCTGAGGTTTTGAGAACAGGACACAACCTGACCTGGGCTGACCTGTCCCAGAGGGAGGGCTGACCTGTCCCAGACTGAGGACTGACCTGTCCCAGAGGGAGGGCTGACCTGTCCCAGAGGGAGGGCTGACCTGTACCAGAGGGAGGACTGACCTGTCCCAGAGGGAGGGCTGACCTGTCCCAGAGGGAGGGCTGACCTGTACCAGAGGGAGGGCTGACCTGTACCAGAGGGAGGGCTGACCTGTACCAGAGGGAGGGCTGACCTGTACCAGAGGGAGGGCTGACCTGTACCAGAGGGAGGGCTGACCTGTACCAGAGGGAGGACTGACCTGTCCCAGAGGGAGGGCTGACCTGTCCCAGAGGGAGGGCTGACCTGTACCAGAGGGAGGACTGACCTGCCCCAGACTGAGGACTGACCTGTCCCAGAGGGAGGTCTGACCTGTCCCAGAGGGAGGGCTGACCTGTCCCAGAGGGAGGCCTGACCTGTCCCAGACTGAGGTCTGACCTGTCCCAGAGGGAGGGCTGACCTGTCCCAGAGGGAGGGCTGACCTGTCCAAGAGGGAGGGCTGACCTATCCGAGAAGGAATATCCCGGCACTGCATATCTGTGGGTCACCACTTCCGAGATCCCTAACCAGCCAGATTTAGCTTGATGTATGCCGTTGTCTGTAGTGCATACCGAGGACATGTGGCAGAAGTCTTGCATGAGGATCTGTAAAACCAGCACAGAGCCTGCTGGGACCCAGGGTGAGGTAGGCAGTATCCTCTTATTCACAGCACATCAGCCCTTAATTTCCCTAAGTCCTGTGACTGAAATCACTTTGCAACATTTACAATGTTTATATTTCTGTGTTCCTATAATATGTAAATACAGTGTTTACAAAGTATCATTCCTGTTGAAATTACTAATATATTTATAGTTCTTTTTGCAGCATAAATAATCTGTATATATTTATTGATATGTACATTTATTCTAGGAATGTTCCAGTAATTTGTATAATTCTAGACTGTGACTGATGTGAAAACAATGTCTTTTACAGACACGAGTTCTGCTGCCAAACCAATCCGGGAGCTTTCTGCATATTCAGATAAATTTGTGAACCTGTGCCAGTTCGTGCAGATGTTTGAGACCTTCATCGGTCCTCACCCAGAGTCCAAAATATTTGCCACGTTGGTTCACTACGTCACAGATCTGTACCAAGATAATGAGCCAGATAAAACTGATAAATTGTTGCAAGTAAGTGCTACTTTATTTTAATGAACCAGATAAATGTGAGAATTGTTGCAAGTAAGAGCTACTTTATGAACCAGATAAATCTGACAAATTGTTCGAAGTAAGAATATTTTACTGAGGCAAATAAAACTGTCAACCTGTTGCAAATAGGAGCTACTTTATTATAATGAGCTAAATCAAACTGACAAATTGTTGCAAATAAGAGTCATTGAATCAGCTTTCATTGAAACTACTTTATTTTAATGAGCCACATAAAATTGATAACTTAGTGCAAGCAAGAGCTAGTGAATCAGTTTTCACTGAAACAATACCTTATTGTAATGAACCAGATAAAACTGACATATTGTTGCTAGTAAGAAGTGGCGAATTGGCTTTCATTGAAACAAGACTGGTCGCCCTCAAGGTAGTGATAGGTTCAAAAACTCAATAAGGCAGATTTTTAAAAATTGATCACAGCTGTCATATCAGATCAACCCAACCTAAAGTGGGTTAAAAGTCCTGGAAGCTAGAGCACCCACTGACGTAATATGGCTGCATCGTCCAGGGAGGTCTGATTGGCCTGTAACAGTGTGGTTCTGTGTCAGTTAATTGACTTAATAATTAATTCATGTGTGATGTAATTACAGAAAATATGCAAGTAAGAATTGAAGTATCTGATTTCAGTTTGTATTGAAAAAATTCCCTCCTCAGTGATTGTGAAAGTTGGTTGTTGTCTTCCTTGACTATCTTTGTCCAGGCAAGGGAGTTTTTAACATCCACAATTTGCATTTGCGCATAATAACTTTTAAAAAAAAAATGTTTTAATCATCAAGAGAAGGCTTTACGTCTGAATGTATTACTCACGTGATCAGATGGTTGTGTAACCACATGAGAAACCGATAGTTGTCAATACTCCCAGCCTTAAACTAGGATTCGAACTCGGTAGTTTCTGATCTTGAGGTAAATATGTCAACCTTTTCAACTATGTCTCTCCAGATGGTCAAACAATATGAGTACTTCATTTGTAGGTTGCCATGGTTTAATAAACATTGACAAAAGATGACAGTAAAAATGACAGCAAAATGACAGTTTTTGAGAGCATGCAGTAAAAGTTAATGAAACATTCACCAACATGAGTCCAGAATGCTTGACCAGATATTTTGTGTTTGGTTCAGGCCAAAGAAAACGCTACCAATGCCAGAAAGAAAGCACAACTGAATGCTTTGTTTGAGAAGTGGGATAATGACGCCAGCGGTTTTCTGGAGCTAGAGGACGTCACTGATTACATGTGCAAGTTCAAGGACGGACAAGAAGTAGAGGCCATTAGATCAGGTATAGTCACTGGCAAAATGGTATGCCTGAGAGTAGGAGAAAGTTATGAAAATATATATTTCAGATGATTTTTGACTTTCTTTGCTTTCATAATGCATTTCCCAAAAAAAAAAAAATATAGACACAGTTTGTCTTAAAAAAACACATCTGTGTTGCAAACAGTTTATTTAAGAAATACATATCCAAGGCACACACAAAACTGTTTATCCAAGAAATACATATCCAAGGCACACACAAAACTGTTTATCCAAGAAATACATATCCAAGGCACACACAAAAACTGTTTATCTAAGAAATACATATCCAAGGCACACAAAATACATATCATATCCAAGGCACACACAAAACTTTTTAAAAGGCACACACACAAAACAGTGTTATCTAAGAAAAAATGTACATACAAAGGCACACACCTAAGAAATGGACACCAATAAGAAATACACATTCAAGGCACACACAAAAACTGTTAATCTTGTGTCAAAGTCTCCTTACATCATTGTGTGAATGAATCTTGTGTCAAAGCCTCCTTACATCATTGTGTGAATGAATCTTGTGTCAAAGCCTCCTTACATCATTGTGTGAATGAATCTTGTGTCAAAGCCTCCTTACATCATTGTTTGAATGAATCTTGTGTCAAAGCCTCCTTACATTATTGTTTGAATGAATCTTGTGTCAAAGCCTCCTTACATCATTGTGTGAATGAATCTTGTGTCAAAGCCTCCTTACATCATTGTGTGAATGAATCTTGTGTCAAAGCCTCCTCACATCATTGTGTGAATGAATCTTGTGTCAAAGCCTCCTTACATCATTGTTTGAATGAATCTTGTGTCAAAGCCTCTGTACATCATTGTTTGAATGAATCTTGTGTCAAAGCCTCCTCACATCATTGTGTGAATGAATCTTGTGTCAAAGCCTCCTTAGATTATTGTTTGAATGAATCTTGTTTCAAAGCCTCCTTACATTATTGTTTGAATGAATCTTGTATCAAAGCCTCCTTACATCATTGTTTGAATGAATCTTGTGTCAAAGCCTGCTTACATCATTGTTTGAATGAATCTTGCTCACAGGCTTCCTTGCATGACTGTGTGTGTATTTTTTTTCCCCTAGGATGTCTTGTGTGTTTCTTGTATGGCTCTTTCACCCAAGTATTTTCAATAACCTCTTGAGTCTTAGATTGTGGATTGGATGAAAACAACTTTCTTTTCAAATGATGTGCAGTACTTTTCATCAATATCTTTTAAAATGTGTTTCTTTGATGTGTGTTTTTTGTATCTCTGTTCTACTTAGTTTGTTCTAGAAATGTTGTGATTACCACACTTCTAAAGCTCTCAAGCTCTTTTACTCTCTTTTTTTCATTTTTTTTCTTCATTTGCCTAAATTTTATTTTCCATATTTAGTATATTTCTGTGTTATTTTCTATATGGTTTCTATACATCATACTTTTCTATATTATTATCTGACATTTGATCAGCCCAGTTTGATTTGAAGAAGCAGTCGGAATACTTTGATGGCAGACTGAGTAACAGAGAGTTCAGACAGTTCCTCAACATGGTCATCAATGAGTTGCCAGGCAAAGAAACATTTGACCTTTTTGTGGAGTTTCTGATGAACTCAGTTGAGGTACTTGCTGATTTTTTTTAAAACTTTAAAACTGTAAATGACTAAAACATCAGCCAGATAACATGAACAGTAATCCAAGTACCCCAGCATTGCATTAAATGAACATTGTGGGTTACTGACCCCTGTCCACAGAAGTCAGAGAATACATTTTGGGATGTAACTTTCTGTATGCCTTTGAATCATAGGCATTGAATAAAAGGAATCATAGACATTGAATAAAAGGAATCATATGCATTAAATAAAGGGAATCATAGGCATTGAATAAAAGGAATCATAGACATTGAATAATTGGAATCATAGACATTGAATAAAGGGAATCATAGACATTGAATAAAGGGAATCATAGACATTGAATAAAGGGAATCATAGACATTGAATAAAGGGAATCATAGACATTGAATAAAGGGAATCATAGACATTGAATAAAGGGAATCATAGGCATTGAATAAAGGAAATCATAGGCATTGAATAAAGGGAATCATAGACATTGAATAAAGGGAATCATAGGCATTATATAAATGGGAATCATAGGCATTGAATAAAGGGAATCATAGACATTGAATAAAAGGAATCATAGGCATTAAATAAAGGGAATCATAGGCATTGAATAAAAGGAATCATGGGCATTGAATAATTGGAATCATAGACATTGAATAAAGGGAATCATGGACATTGAATAATTGGAATCATAGGCATTGAATAAAGGGAATCATAGACTTTGAATAAAGGAAATCATAGGCATTAAATAATGGGAATCATAGACATTGAATAATGGGAATCATAGGCATTGAATAAAGGGAATCATAGACATTGAATAAAGGGAATCATAGGCATTAAATAAAGGGAATCATAGGCATTGAATAAAGGGAATCATAGACATTGAATAAAGGGAATCATAGGCATTAAATAAAGGGAATCATAGGCATTGAATAAAGTGAATCATAGACATTGAATAAAAGGAATCATAGGCATTAAATAAAGGGAATCATAGGCATTGAATAAAAGGAATCATGGGCATTGAATAATTGGAATCATAGACATTGAATAAAGGGAATCATGGACATTGAATAATTGGAATCATAGGCATTGAATAAAGGGAATCATAGACTTTGAATAAAGGGAATCATAGGCATTAAATAATGGGAATCATAGACATTGAATAATGGGAATCATAGGCATTGAATAAAGGGAATCATAGACATTGAATAAAGGGAATCATAGGCATTGAATAATGGGAATCATAGACATTGAATAATGGGAATCATAGACATTGAATAAAGGGAATCATAGGCATTGAATAATGGGAATCATGGACATTGAATAATGGGAATCATAGACATTGAATAATGGGAATCATAGACATTGGATAAAGGGAATGATAGACATTGAATAATGGGAATCATAGACATTGAATAATGGGAATCATAGACATTGAATAAAGGGAATCATAGGCATTGAATAATGGGAATCATAGAGATTGAATAAAGGGAATCATAGGCATTGAATAATGGGAATCATAGGCATTGAATAATAGGAATCATAGGCATTGAATAATGGGAATCATAGACATTGAATAATGGGAATCATAGGCATTGAATAATGGGAATCATAGGCATTGAATAAAGGAAATCATAGGCATTGAATAAAGGGAATCATAGGCATTGAATAAAGGGAATCATAGACATTGAATAATGGGAATCATAGACATTGAATAAAGGGAATCATAGACATTGAATAATGGGAATCATAGGCATTGAATAAAGGGAATCATAGACATTGAATAAAGGGAATCATAGGCATTAAATAAAGGGAATCATAGGCATTGAATAAAAGGAATCATTGGCATTGAATAATTGGAATCATAGACATTGAATAAAGGGAATCATGGACATTGAATAATGGGAATCACAGGCATTGAATAAAGGGAATCATAGACTTTGAATAAAGGGAATCATAGGCATTAAATAATGGGAATCATAGACATTGAATAATGGGAATCATAGGCATTGAATAAAGGGAATCATAGACATTGAATAAAGGGAATCATAGGCATTAAATAAAGAGAATCATAGGCATTGAATAAAGGGAATCATAGACATTGAATAAAGGGAATCATAGGCATTAAATAAAGGGAATCATAGGCATTGAATAAAGTGAATCATAGACATTGAATAAAAGGAATCATAGGCATTAAATAAAGGGATTCATAGGCATTGAATAAAAGGAATCATGGGCATTGAATAATTGGAATCATAGACATTGAATAAAGGGAATCATGGACATTGAATAATTGGAATCATAGGCATTGAATAAAGGGAATCATAGACTTTGAATAAAGGGAATCATAGGCATTAAATAATGGGAATCATAGACATTGAATAATGGGAATCATAGGCATTGAATAAAGGGAATCATAGACATTGAATAATGGGAATCATAGACATTGAATAAAGGGAATCATAGACATTGAATTGGAAATCATGGAATCATAGGCATTGAATTGAATAATGGGAATCATAGGCATTGAATCATGGGCATTGAATAAAGGGATCATAGACATTGAATAATTGAATAAAGGGAATCATAGACATTGAATAAAGGGAATCATAGACATTGAATAATGGGAATCATAGGCATTGAATAAAAGGAATCGTGGGCATTGAATAAAGGGAATCATAGGCATTGAATAAAGGGAATCGTAGGCATTGAATAATGGGAATCATAGACATTGAATCATAGGCATTGAATAAAGGAATCATAGACATTGAATAAAGGGAATCATAGGCATTGAATAAAGGGAATCATAGACATTGAATAAAGGGAATCATAGGAATCATAGGCATTGAATAATGGAATCATAGAATTGAATCATATAGACATTGAATAATGGGAATCATAGACATTGAATAAAGGGAATCATAGACATTGAATAATGGGAATCATAGGCATTGAATAAAAGGAATCGTGGGCATTGAATAAAGGGAATCATAGGCATTGAATAAAGGGAATCGTAGGCATTGAATAATGGGAATCATAGACATTGAATAATAGGAATCATAGACATTTAATAAAGGGAATCATAGACATTGAATAAAGGGAATCATAGACATTGATAAATGAGAATCATAGACATTGAATAATGGGAATCATAGACATTGAATAATGGGAATCATAGGCATTGAATAATGGGAATCATAGACATTGAATAAAGGGAAACATAGACATTGAATAAAGGGAATCATAGATATTGAATAAAGGGAATCATAGACATTGAATAATGAGAATCATAGACATTGAATAATGAGAATCATAGACATTGAATAATGAGAATCATAGACATTGAATAATGAGAATCATAGGCATTGAATAATGAGAATCATAGACATTGAATAAAGGGAATCATAGACATTGAATAAAGGGAATCATAGACATTGAATAATGGAAATCACAGGCATTGAATAAAGGGAATCATAGACATTGAATATTGGGAATCATGGCATCGAATAATGGGAATCATGGCATTGAATAATGGGAATCATGGGCATTGAATAATGGGAATCATGGGCATTGAATAAAGGGAATCATAGACATTGAATATTGGGAATCATGGCATTGAATAATGGGAATCATAGGCATTGAATAATGAAAATCATAGGCATTGAATAATGGGAATCATGGACATTAAACAAAGGGAATCATAGACATTGAATAATGGGAATCATAGGCATTGAATAATGAGAATCATAGACATTGAATAATGAGAATCATACACATTGAATAATGAGAATCATAGACATTGAATAATGAGAATCATAGACATTGAATAATGAGAATCATAGATATTGAAAAATGAGAATCATAGACAATGAATAATGAGAATCATAGACATTGAATAAAGGGAATCATATTCATTGAATAAAGGGAATCATAGGCATTGAATAATGGGAATCATGGGCATTGAATAAAGGAAATCATAGGCATTGAATATTGGGAATCATAGGCATTGAATAATGGGAATCATAGGCATTGAATAAAGGGAGTCATAGGCATTAAATAAAGGGAATCCTGGGCATTGAATAAAGGGAATCATAGACATTGAATAATGGGAATCATAGACATTGAATAATGGGAATCATAGGCATTGAATAATGGGAATCATAGGCATTGAATAAAGGGAATCATAGACATTGAATAATGGGAATCATAGACATTGAATAAAGGGAATCATAGACATTGAATAATGGGAATCATAGGCATTGAATAAAAGGAATTGTGGGCATTGAATAAAGGGAATCATAGGCATTGAATAATAGGAATCGTAGGCATTAAATAATGGAAATCATAGGCATTGAATAAAGGGAATCATAGGCATTGAATAAAGGGAATCATAGACATTGAATAATTGGAATCATAGGCATTAAATAAAGGGAATCATAGACATTTAATAATGGATATCATAGGCATTGAATAATGGGAAACGTAGGCATTGAATAATTGGAATCATAGGCATTAAATAAAGGGAATCATAGACATTGAATAATGGAAATCATAGACATTGAATAATTGGAATCATAGGCATTGAATAATGGGAATCATAGACATTGAATAAAGGGAATCATAGACATTGAATAATGGGAATCATAGGCATTAAATAAAGGGAATCATAGAGATTGAATAAAGGGAATCATAGGCATTGAATAAAGTGAAACATAAACATTGAATAAATTGAATCATAGACATTGAATAAAGGGAATCATAGACATTGAATAAAGGGAATCATAGGCATTTAATAAAGGGAATCATAGAGATTGAATAAAGGGAATCATAGGCATTGAATAAAGTGAAACGTAAACATTGAATAAATTGAATCATAAAAATTGAATAAAGGGAATCATAGACATTGAATAAAGGGAATCATAGGCATTAAATAAAGGGAATTATAGAGATTGAATAAAGGGAATCATTGACATTGAATAAAGTGAAACATAAACATTGAATAAATTGAATCATAAAAATTGAATAAAGGGAATCATAGACATTGAATAAAGGGAATCACAGACATTGAATAAAGGGAATCATAGACATTGAGGAGAAAAAAACAGACTAGAAAGAAAATGGAGACCACGGAATATGAACACTTGTCTATGTGGCACTGTCTTGTTACCTCAAGCTTGTATTCTATATACATGACCACATCTTCTGATTTGCTATTTTGTAAATATAAGCTAAAACCATTGCTCTTCCTTTCCTTGTTAGTTTCTGAAATGCTCGCTTCCTGTTGTCTCTTCTCTGTTTATTCCAGATAACTGTAACTGTCACTACTTCTATCCCCGTCAGTTATACTATTGACAGGCTAGTTCTTTCATAGAAAATGTCAGCTGCAGAATAAACCAATCACATGTAAGTCTACAAAGGCCCTGACCTTAGTTGGTTGAAGGCCTATGCTCTACTGAGTGACAAAAGGCAGAAAAAAAGAGAAGATCTCCTAACATACCCATACATACAGTCTTGACTGTCTACTTACCTAACATACCCATACATACAGTCTTGACTGTCTACTTACCTAACATACCCATACATACAGTCTTGACTGTCTGCTTACCTAACATACCCATACAGTCTTGACTGTCTACTTACCTAACATACCCATACATACAGTCTTGACTGTCTACTTACCTAACATACCCATACAGTCTTGACTGTCTACTTACCTAACATACCCATACAGTCTTGACTGTCTACTTACCTAACATACCCATACATACAGTCTTAACTGTCTACTTACCTAACATACCCATACAGTCTTGACTGTCTACTCACCTAACATACCTATACAGTCTTGACTGTTTACTTACCTAACATATCCATACATACAATCTTGACTGTCTACTTACCTAACATACCCATACAGTCTTGACTGTCTACTTACCTAACATACCCATACATACAGTCTTGACTGTCTACTTTCCTAGCATACCCATACAGTCTTGACTGTCTACTTACCTAACATACCCATACAGTCTTGAATGTCTACTTACCTAACATACCCATACAGTCTTGACTGTCTACTTACCTAACATACCCATACATACAGTCTTGACTGTCTACTTACCTAACATACCCATACATACAGTCTTGACTGTCTACTTACCTAACATACCCATACAGTCTTGACTGTCTACTCACCTAACATACCTATACAGTCTTGACTGTTTACTTACCTAACATATCCATACATACAATCTTGACTGTCTACTTACCTAACATACCCATACATACAGTCTTGACTGTCTACTTACCTAGCATACCCATACAGTCTTGACTGTCTACTTACCTAACATACCCATACAGTCTTGACTGTCTACTTACCTAACATACCCATACAGTCTTGACTGTCTACTTACCTAACATACCCATACATACAGTCTTGACTGTCTACTTACCTAACATACCCATACATACAGTCTTGACTGTCTACTTACCTAACATACCCATACATACAGTCTTGACTGTCTACTTACCTAACATACCCATACATACAGTCTTGACTGTCTACTTACCTAACATACCCATACAGTCTTGACTGTCTACTTACCTAACATACCCATACATACAGTCTTGACTGTCTACTTACCTAACATACCCATACATACAGTCTTGACTGTCTACTTACCTAACATACCCATACAGTCTTGACTGTCTACTTACCTAACATACCCATATATACAGTCTTGACTGTCTACTTACCTAACATACCCATACATACAGTCTTGACTGTCTACTTACCTAACATACTCATACATACAGTCTTGACTGTCTACTTACCTAACATACCCATACAGTCTTGACTGTCTACTTACCTAACATACCCATACAGTCTTGACTGTCTACTTACCTAACATACCCATACAGTCTTGACTGTCTACTTACCTAACATACCCATACATACAGTCTTGACTGTTTACTTACCTAACATATCCATACATACAATCTTGACTGTCTACTTACCTAACATACCCATACAGTCTTGACTGTCTACTTACCTAACATACCCACACATACAGTCTTGACTGTCTACTTACCTAGCATACCCATACAGTCTTGACTGTCTACTTACCTAACATACCCATACAGTCTTGACTGTCTACTTACCTAACATACCAATACATACAGTCTTGACTGTCTAATACCTAGCATACCCATACATACAGTCTTGACTGTCTACTTACCTAACATATCCATACATACAGTCTTGACTGTCTACTTACCTAACATACCCATACAGTCTTGACTGTCTACTTACCTAACATACCCATACATACAGTCTTGACTGTCTACTTACCTAGCATACCCATACAGTCTTGACTGTCTACTTACCTAACATACCCATACATACAGTCTTGACTGTCTACTTACCTAACATACCCATACAGTCTTGACTTTCTACTTACCTAACATACCCATACATACAGTCTTGACTGTTTACTTACCTAACATATCCATACATAGTCTTGACTGTCTACTCACCTAACATACCCATACATACAGTCTTGACTGTCTACTTACCTAACATACCCATACACACAGTCTTGACTGTCTACTTACCTAACATACCCATACATACAGTCTTGACTGTCTACTTACCTAACATACCCATACATACAGTCTTGACTGTCTACTTACCTAACATACCAATACATACAGTCTTGACTGTCTACTTACCTAACATACCCATACATACAGTCTTGACTGTCTACTTACCTAACATACCCATACATACAGTCTTGACTGTCTACTTACCTAACATACCCATACATACAGTCTTGACTGTCTACTTACCTAACATACCCATACATACAGTCTTGACTGTCTACTTACCTAACATACCCATACATACAGTCTTGACTGTCTACTTACCTAACATACCCATACATACAGTCTTGACTGTCTACTTACCTAACATACCCATACATACAGTCTTGACTGTCTACTTACCTAACATACCAATACAGTCTTGACTGTCTACTTACCTAACATACCCATACATACAGTCTTGACTGTCTACTTACCTAACATACCCATACAGTCTTGACTGTCTACTTACCTAACATACCAATACAGTCTTGACTGTCTACTTACCTAACATACCCATACATACAGTCTTGACTGTCTACTTACCTAGCATACCCATACATACAGTCTTGACTGTCTACTTACCTAACACACCCATACAGTCTTGACTGTCTACTTACCTAACATACCCATACATACAGTCTTGACTGTCTACTTACCTAACATACCCATACCGTCTTGACTGTCTACTTCTAACTTCTCTAATCCAAGAAAAAAGCCTCATGATTCCTGTTGTGTGTGCACATTATCTACAGAGATCCTATGGAGAGCGCATCAGAGGAGAAGCAAGAAAGAAATGGCTTCAGCAAATAAACATGGCGGCACTCACAGGTGGCACATCCATGGAGCCTGTTTACAAAGCTGTCTTCCAAGCTCTATACAAGGTAAGTTTGCAGTTGGTGAAAATGTGGCTTGTCTTACATAAACACGTTAAAAAAATAACTTTGTAGTTGGTGACAAGTTGCAAGTTTTTAATTAGGGTGCTGGATAGTGTGCTACACAGTTGCTGGACAGTATACTAGACAGGTGCTGGATAGTGTGCTACACAGTTGCTGGACAGTATACTAGACAGGTGCTGGATAGTGTGCTACACAGTTGCTGGACAGTATACTAGACAGGTGCTGGATAGTGTGCTACACAGTTGCTGGACAGTATACTAGACAGGTGCTGGATAGTGTGCTACACAGTTGCTGGACAGTATACTAGACAGGTGCTGGATAGTGTGCTACACAGTTGCTGGACAGTATACTAGACAGGTGCTGGATAGTGTGCTACACAGTTGCTGGACAGTATACTAGACAGGTGCTGGATAGTGTGCTACACAGTTGCTGGACAGTATACTAGACAGGTGCTGGATAGTGTGCTACACAGTTGCTGGACAGTATACTAGACAGGTGCTGGATAGTGTGCTACACAGTTGCTGGACAGTATACTAGACAGGTGCTGGATAGTGTGCTACACAGTTGCTGGACAGTATACTAGACAGGTGCTGGATAGTGTGCTACACAGTTGCTGGACAGTATACTAGACAGGTGCTGGATAGTGTGCTACACAGTTGCTGGACAGTATACTAGACAGGTGCTGGATAGTGTGCTACACAGTTGCTGGACAGTATACTAGACAGGTGCTGGATAGTGTGCTACACAGTTGCTGGACAGTATACTAGACAGGTGCTGGATAGTGTGCTACACAGTTGCTGGACAGTATACTAGACAGGTGCTGGATAGTGTGCTACACAGTTGCTGGACAGTATACTAGACAGGTGCTGGATAGTGTGCTACACAGTTGCTGGACAGTATACTAGACAGGTGCTGGATAGTGTGCTACACAGGTGCTGGACAGTATACTAGACAGGTGCTGGACAGTATACTAGACAGGTGCTGGACAGTATACTAGACAGGTGCTGGACAGTATACTAGACAGGTTCTGGACAGTGTGCCAGACAGGTTCTGGACAGTGTGCCAGACAGGTGCTGGACAGTATACTAGACAGGTGCTGGACAGTATACTAGACAGGTGCTGGACAGTATACTAGACAGGTGCAGAAGAAGGCTCAAAGAGTTAAAAGCAATATTGCATTTTCCTGTCTAACTGTTCTGTGTCTTCAGTTTCTTATTGAGGAAGATCTTCTCCAGGCCGATCCAGGGATATTCCTAAGCCAGCATCAGGATAAAGGCAGTCATGTTAGTTAGGACTACGATTTCACAAATGGGACAACAATGCTGGCATCCTTGATGTAGTAGAGCCACCTCCAATCTCATAGTGTATGCACATAAGGTACAAGAAACGGCGACCAGGACAAGATGCTGTTGATGAAGTCTCCGCTACCTGAGACGCAGGCAACAATGACCCAGGTTCCACAGATTCCACAGCATTGTCAAATGTAGGTGTCCCAACACTGTTGACATATTCCCCACTGATGTCAACACAGAGCCGTAAACAGCTGCCAGAGCGATGACCGTTGGGACCATCCAGCCGAGACACAGCTACATCCCATCTCACTTTGACCCTGCATCCAGTGACTGACAGACAGTAGCCAGCCGAGACGCCCACAGTGTAAGTTCCGATGCGGCTCCACGACTTGATGTAATAGTCTTGGAGCCAGAGGGATATGTTCAAGTTATCGTTTTGCAGTATTTTCACTAAGGTGGCTGGCCACTGATTTTGGGGCAAAAGAACACCAATCGTGATCCAACTGGTACGCAGGAAACGCACACAGACAGCCACACTGATAATACCATTAAAGTAGAATGGGATGATTATCAAAGGGCACACAAGAAAGATCTACATATTATTGGCCAGGCATCAGGTATGACCTATAAACATTTTCTCAGCACATACGAAACTGTTGACATAAAGGAGATTTGTCCACCAGAACTTCCGCAATTGTTCCTATCCACTGACTGAACCGGACACCACAAGGCTCCAGACCCCTTGTGTTGCATGAGACCCAGAACAGTCAACTGTGTCAACGTGTACGAAGGAGTTGGTCGAAGAGGCTATCTTCTGAAAACTGTTTAATTGTCAACAGTTTGTGTACTGCTGTCACCTAAAGCATACAAGAACCGTGTTGGGCTCATGAAAACTCAGTTTAAATCCCAAAAGTCAATGCCTCTTAGCACCCAGCCTATTGTAACTAAGGTATCTATCGAAACTTCACTGCCTTGATAATGTCACATTCCATGCGGGCAGGGAGACGTTCACCGTGTGTTACTTGTATGGTTGCAATTCAGACCGGTGAGAAAATCTTGATCTCTGCTGCCATCCACTGCTTTATCTACCATGAATCCGATAGTGACACCTCTGTCCACTTCACAGTATATAGTACCTTGTGTTGCATTATCACTCAGAGTGATATTTCTACCTCCGCTGACGTAGAATGTCCCGAGGTAACCAGATGAATTGCAAGGTCACCAAGTCAGTAAAGCCCAAAGGGTCACAGAATATGGCTAGAGTTATGCTGTATACGAACTACTTCCGCTCATTGGTACAGGCTACCGTAGATCTCTTGTCTTGTGTTGGTGTCAGCCAGACATGTGTCAGTCTTACCATCTATCCTAACAGCTACACCGCTATTCCAAATTCTTCTTAATTTGTTCATTGACATTCCAAGATTCGCTGCCATACAGCAGAACAGGTTCTATGTAATATTTTAGCACTCTCTTTTTGACATTAAATGAGAGTGATTTATTGCATAAGATATTTGTCATTTTCTGAAATGCAGCTTTTGCTTGACCTATTCTGCTTTTAATCTCTGTCACACATTTTTTCATCTGATGATATGATTGTTCCCAAATATTTAAATTAAATGAATTGGTTAAGTCTTTTTCCTTTAATTGAGATATCACAATGTGGAATTATCTTCTTCTTTGATGTAAACATTACTTCCGTTTTCCTAATATTTAATGAAAGTCCTTTCTTAGCACTCCCCATCCCCACAATTTCCAGCAGTTGTTGTAAATCAGTTGCATTTTCAGCTATCAAAACTGTATCGCCTACATAACGCAAATTGTTTATATTGTATCCTCCAACTCTTATTCCTGCATTCTCTTTAATTTCCCTCAAAATTATGAGACTTAGTACTCTTGACATATAACTCTACTGCTGTGTGTTGTGTAGGATGCAGAGACCCATGGAGGAGAGAAAAGAATTAGTGCAAGTATTACCATGTTGGAGAAGAACAAACTGGAACCTTCCAGAGGGGAGCTGATGCTACGTGTGGCCGCCTGTACCCCAGAAGATTGTCAGTACATGCTTGGCAAACCCTTGTACAAGAATATGAAGGGTATCAGGTAGGTCATCAAGTGTTTGCTCTCAAGCCCTTGTACAAGAATATGAAGGGTATCAGGTAGGTCATCAAGTATTTGCTCTCAAGCCTTTGTACAAGAATATGAGGGGTATCAGGTAGGTCATCAAGTATTTGCTCTCCAGCCCTTGTACAAGAATATGAAGGGTATCAGGTAGGTCATCAAGTATTTGCTCTCAAGCCCTTGTACAAGTATATGAAGGGTATCAGGTAGGTCATCAAGTATTTGCTCTCAAGCCCTTGTACAAGTATATGAAGGGTATCAGGTAGGTCATCAAGTATTTGCTCTCAAGCCCTTGTACAAGAATATGAAGAGTATCAGGTAGGTCATCAAGTATTTGCTCTCAAGCCCTTGTACAAGTATATGAAGGGTATCAGGTAGGTCATCAAGTATTTGCTCTGATTATGTTTTCGATAAGAATAGTCATTCTTTCTTGTGCTAAATATTGCCCGATCAAATAAATGTCGGTGTTATGATGAAGTTTAAGACACAAGGTCAGTTTAGGACAAATATTACAAAGTGGCAGCTGACATCTTTGATTATACTTCTAGTTGAGAGAAGTTGGATAAAAATCTGGCAAATGAATGATTCATGACCTCAAAAGTTGTACTTTTCATAATTTAATTGTTTGATACTGTCGGTTATTCATACTGTTTAACTTTTTATGTTTGTACATTATGACGTTTTGTGGGCCTGTCAAGTATAAAATATAAAACAAATTTAAAACTTGTATCATAAGTTAAATTGTTTATATAGCCTGCTATTTTAGATTCCTTGCCTAAATTTTATTGATTTGGGATCTTTGCTTTTGTTTTCTTTCTTTCCTTAAACGTGTTTATTTATCCATTGCTTGATCCATGTTTTTATGGTTTGGCAGCTTTCAAGCCATTGAGACTGGCAAACCTGTACATGTGCCTCGAGTAGCCAAACATGGCAATATTTATTTTTGGAATTATAATCGCAATCCTCAAGTAAGTTTCCATGTTCTCTATATCTGTTTGATTCCATGTTCTCAATATCTGTTTGATTATATGTTCTCTATATCTGTTTGATTTCATGTTCTCTATATCTGTTTGATTCCATGTTCTCTATGTCTGTTTGTTTCCATGTTCTCTATATCTGTTTGTTTCCATGTTCTCTATATCTGTTTGATTCCATGTTCTCTATATCTGTTTGATTTCATGTTCTCTATATCTGTTTGATTTCATGTTCTCTATATCTGTGTTATTCCATGTTCTCTATATCTGTTTGATTTCATGTTCTCTATATCTATTTGATTTCATGTTCTCTATATCTGTTTGTTTCCATGTTCTCTATATCTGTTTGTTTCCATGTTCTCTATATCTATTTGATTCCATGTTCTCTATATCTGTTTGATTCCATGTTCTCTATATCTATTTGATTCCATGTTCTCTATATCTGTTTGATTCCATGTTCTCTATATCTGTTTGATTCCATGTTCTCTATATCTGTTTGATTCCATGTTCTCTATATCTGTTTGATTTCATGTTCTCTATATCTGTTTGATTCCATGTTCTCTATATCTATTTGATTCCATGTTCTCTATATCTGTTTGTTTCCATGTTCTCTATATCTATTTGATTCATGTTCTCTATATCTATTTGATTCCATGTTCTCTATATCTGTTTGATTCCATGTTCTCTATATCTGTGTGATCCCATGTTCTCTATATCTGTTTGATTTCATGTTCTCTATATCTGTGTGATTCCATGTTCTCTATATCTGTTTGATTCCATGTTCTCTATATCTGTTTGATTCCATGTTCTCTATATCTGTTTGATTCCATGTTCTCTATATCTGTTTGATTCCATGTTCTCTATATCTGTTTGATTCCATGTTCTCTATATCTGTGTGATCCCATGTTCTCTATATCTGTTTGATTTCATGTTCTCTATATCTATTTGATTCCATGTTCTCTATATCTGTTTGATTCCATGTTCTCTATATCTATTTGATTCCATGTTCTCTATATCTGTGTGATTCCATGTTCTCTATATCTGTTTGATTTCATGTTCTCTATATCTGTGTGATTCCATGTTCTCTATATCTATTTGATTCCATGTTCTCTATATCTGTTTGATTCCATGTTCTCTATATCTATTTGATTCCATGTTCTCTATATCTATTTGATCCCATGTTCTCTATATCTGTTTGATTCCATGTTCTCTATATCTATTTGATTCCATGTTCTCTATATCTATTTGATTCCATGTTCTCTATATCTGTTTGATTCCATGTTCTCTATATCTATTTGATTCCATGTTCTCTATATCTGTTTGATTCCATGTTCTCTATATCTGTTTGATTCCATGTTCTCTATATCTGTGTGATCCCATGTTCTCTATATCTGTTTGATTCCATGTTCTTTATATCTATTTGATTCCATGTTCTCAATATCTATTTGATTCCATGTTCTCTATATCTGTTTGATTCCATGTTTTCTAAATCTGTTTGATTCCATGTTATCTAAATCTGTTTGATTCCATGTTCTCCACATCTGTTTGATCCCATGTTCTCTATATCTGTTTGATTCCATGTTCTCTATATCTGTCTGAACATGACATAAGTATGTAGATTCAAAAATGACATAAGTATGTAGATTCAATAATGACATAAGTAGGTAGATTCAATAATGACATAAGTATGTAGATTCAGTAATGACATAAGTATGTAGATTCAGTAATGACATAAATATTTAGACTCAGTAATGACATAAGTATGTAGATTCAGTAATGACATAAATATTTAGACTCAGTAATGACATAAGTATGTAGATTCAATAATGACATAAGTATGTAGATTCAATAATAACATAAGTATGTAGATTCAATAATGACATAAGTATATAGATTCAATAATGACATCAGTATGTAGATTCAATAATGACATCAGTATATAGATTCAATAATGACATCAGTATGTAGATTCAATAATGACATAAGTATATAGATTCAATAATGACATCAGTATGTAGATTCAATAATGACATAAGTATATAGATTCAATAATGACATCAGTATGTAGATTCAATAATGACATCAGTATATAGATTCAATAATGACATCAGTATGTAGATTCAATAATGACATAAGTATATAGATTCAATAATGACATCAGTATGTAGATTCAATAATGACATAAGTATGTAGATTCAATAATGACATCAGTATATAGATTCAATAATGACATCAGTATGTAGATTCAATAATGACATCAGTATGTAGATTCAATAATAACATAAGTATGTAGATTCAATAATGACATAAGTATATAGATTCAATAATGACATCAGTATGTAGATTCAATAATGACATCAGTATATAGATTCAATAATGACATCAGTATGTAGATTCAATAATGACATAAGTATATAGATTCAATAATGACATCAGTATGTAGATTCAATAATGACATAAGTATGTAGATTCAATAATGACATCAGTATATAGATTCAATAATAACATAAGTATGTAGATTCAATAATGACATCAGTATGTAGATTCAATAATGACATCAGTATGTAGATTCAATAATGACATCAGTATGTAGATTCAATAATGACATCAGTATGTAGATTCAATAATGACATCAGTATGTAGATTCAATAATGACATCAGTATGTAGATTCAATAATGACATCAGTATATAGATTCAATAATGACATAAGTATGTAGATTCAATAATGACATAAGTATATAGATTCAATAATGACATAAATATATAGATTCAATAATGACATAAGTATATAGATTCAATAAATACATAAGTATGTAGATTCAATAATGACATAAGTATGTAGACATTGTACACGAAATAACTAACAGTTCTCTTTGCGGCGTCCGTGGCTAAGGCGTAGCGAGTCCGACTCGTAAGCCAGCATACCGCGATCGAAACCCACTGCAGGCTGCGTGGATTTTTGTCGTGGTATGGGACGTCGCAGGTCGACCCAGCCTAAAATGGGTACCAGGATGGGCTGTCCTGGGAAAGTAAAGACAGCCGGCGTAATGCTGACCACATTACCCACAGAGTGCTGATGGTCTGTAAAAATATGGGACGCTCTGCCCATATGCCCGATGCGCCGAAAGGCGTGAAAAGGGAACTTTACTTTACTGTTTTACCTCCTCTTTAGGTGTCTGCACTGCAGCAGACGTTAGCAATCATGTCTCTTCGATTATTTTTGTTATCTGATATTTTTATAAAGTTTAGTTGATAAGACGTTACTTCTTTGCTTTTGCCCTCCAGAATGTTTTCAGTGACTCTCTGGGAGGAGAGTTCCAGTTCTGATCAGTTTGTCTTTGACCTTGTGCCAGTAATGGCATCTTCTGTCTAGCACAGATAAAGTGATGATTTGTTCCTTTCAGCTTTAGAGCTGCTGACCACTTGAACCCATGACCTGCCTGCCGTAAGTTGTTGAGTTAACCCTGATTGGAGGAAGTTGAGAGTTGCTAGCTATGTCCTTCAGATGGGGGCCATGCTGGTTCATATTGCCTGCCTGTTGGGGCACTGGTCAGCTGTTTGATTTCACCGCACTCCCTCCCCCGCACTAAAGTGTGATTTTGCAGTTGGATTGACATTTAGGATGTGTCTCTTTAGGTGACACATATGTCCAACCTTGCAGCAGCCAGAAGAAGAAACAGTCAGCCATTCAGTCAACCTTGTCCTTCATCTCCTAACAAAGGCCTTTATAGACCAGGGTAATTCACCAGCAGGCTTGTGATGGGCTGTGAGTCTGTTGTTCTAATGAATGTTGTATACCATTGTGGTATGAACAGAACAATGTTGTATACCATTGTGGTTTGAACAGAACAATGTTGTATACCATTGTGGTTTGAACAGAACAATGTTGTATACCATTGTGGTATGAACAGAACAATGTTGTATACCATTGTGGTATGAACAGAACAATGTTGTATACCATTGTGGTTTGAACAGAACAATGTTGTATACCATTGTGGTATGAACAGAACAATGTTGTATACCATTGTGGTATGAACAGAACAATGTTGTATACTATGGAACATTTCACAACACTGTGGCACCAACAGAGTGATGTTGTCTTTCACAGGAACGATCTGGATCTTTTGTAGCAATCCCGTTAAAGGACAACAAGAAACGTGTCTTTGGGACACTGGGAGTTGACACCATGATTGACCCCAAGAAAGAAACCATTTTTACAAAACATGAAATCCAGTTCTTCCAGGTGAGACTTGTGTCCGTTTTAGCGAGGGGAACGCTGGTCATGGCTGGTACATCGTCTGCCAGTGACATGGACTCTTTGACTGAGAAAGTAAAAAATAGATACCAGGAAATGTACTGGGAAGTAAAGGTCGGCAGCATATATCGGCCGCATCGTCCATTGAGTGCCAATGTGCCCTATGTGCAGGAGTCTAAGACCATATATTGAATATCCCCTCCTCTACTTCATCTTTGTCTCCACTACTGCTGTATTGAAAGCTGCCAAACTTCAAAGATGTAGATCAAGAGTGTGATAAATGAACATGTTTAAGAGAAAGATTTTAAAAAATACAGCAACAATCACAAATCAACATTTAGTCAGTGAATTCAAAACAGCAGGCTATGTAAAAACACTGGCTGACTTTGATGATTGCCCCTAAGTACACCTGAGCCACCCCTGTAATACTAACACCAGTATTTAAGTTTGGAAGACACACAAATGTATTGTCTCAGACATTTATAGATACATGGTTTCAAAAAGGATAACGGCGAAATATAATTTAACATGTCTTTTTTGTTACTTTTTCAAGAGAAGCAATATGGACATTTTTTAAAGTGACATAACTAGCAAAAGTTTACTTTTACTGATAGTCGCAGTAAATAAAAATTTGCACAGCAACCTAGGCCGCCAGTATGACTGTTAAATCAAACATTGTAGTCATAATGGCAAATGAAAATTCAGCCCGTGTATTGATCATGGTTTAGGAGTTGACACTCCATTTATTATTAAGAGACGATATACAGAAAGGGTTTGTGATTTTTAGTATTGATGTCAGATGTTTTCTTGTAACAGTGTGTATGTAGCCTTATATTACGTTCTTATGCATGTGTATATGTGTGAGTAAATATGTGCTTGTATCTTGCAGTTATTATGCATGTATGCAAATATTAATATGTGTTTTTGTAAATTTCACAATTCATCAAATGTCTATAGATTGAGTTTGCTGCCAAATATAGTTAACCTATCTTCTTCTCTTTCACAATTTACCTCAGCGAGGTGTTGGGGAGAAGATTTAAGGATCGTTTGTGTGCTTTTTCCAATGCATTGAAAAATTTGGTGTTCATTTCTGTTGTTGCTTCTTATGGTGTCGCTCCATCTCTTGCGTGTTCATGATATTTCTTCAGCGTAGCTCTCTGTGGCAGTTGGTACCAGGGCATTCTTGTCAGGTGGCCAAACCATCTCACTTGTTAACCCATCAATGTTTAGTATAAATTTAATCTATGAGAGGTTGGTTTTTGGGGTGGCAGACAAGCAGAGATCTAAAAGAGATGATGTGAGAAGGGAAGGTAGCATGGGAAAAAATCTGTGTCAACTATCATCAACAGTCTAGAAGAGAAAGAGGATGTGAGAAGGGATTGTGGCATGGGAAAACATTTGTGTCAACTATCATCAACAGTCTAGAAAAGAGAGATGATGTGAGAAGGGGTTGTGGCATGGGAAAAAATCTGTGTCAACTATCATTGATACACGTCTAGGAGTTAGAAGTCTGTATGCAGACAGGATTCCAACCCACACTGATTGCACGAACTTTCAGAACAAGAAGTTTCTACATCTCTCATTTCCACTTCTTTCACAAATCTGATCTAGATTTGTATTTCATCTACAGGGCGTGGCCAAGGCTTTCAGCATTGCCTATCACTATGTGGAGAAAAAACGCAAGTTTGTGCATGTCCTGGAGAGAGCTATGCCTTGGTTCCACTGCAGGTGTCCCCACGTTGTGGAGATTACAGTCTATTTTATAGAACCTAACTCGAAAGACACAAATGACTATGTTCTGCGGAAAATCATGGTCATGGACAATAATGGCCAAGCTGCACATGTCACAGAACTCGTTCGGTTGGAAAGAAAAGACAATTTGTTTCGGTAAGTATTAGTAGCGACAGTGTAGGTCTCTTTCTGTCTAACAAAAACTATGTGACTGATACTACTTCATCTCTTTCTGTCTAACAACAACTATGTGACTGATACTACTTCATCTCTTTCTGTCTAACAACAAATATGTGAATGTGACTACTTCATCTCTTTCTGTCTAACAACAACTATGTGACTGATACTACTTCATCTCTTTCTGTCTAACAAGAACTATGTGACTGATACTACTTCATCTCTTTCTGTCTAACAATAACTATGTGACTGATACTACGTCATCTCTTTCTGTCTAACAACAAATATGTGAATGTGACTAATTCATCTCTTTCTGTCTAACAACAAATATGTGAATGTGACTACTTCATCTCTTTCTGTCTAACAAAAACTATGTGACTGATAATACTTCATCTCTTTCTGTCTAACAACAAATATGTAAATGTGACTACTTCATCTCTTTCTGTCTAACAACAAATATGTGACTGATACTACTTCATCTCTTTCTGTCTAACAACAAATATGTGAATATGACTACTTCATCTCTTTCTGTCTAACAAAAAATATGTGAATGTGACTACTACTTCATCTCTTTCTGTCTAACAACAAATATGTGAATGTGACTACTTCATCTCTTTCTGTCTAACAACAAATATGTGAATGTGACTACTTCATCTCTTTCTGTCTAACAACAAATATGTGAATGTGACTACTTAATCTCTTTCTGTCTAACAACAAATATGTGACTGATACTACTTCATCTCTTTCTGTCTAACAAGAACTATGTGACTGAAACTACTTCATCTCTTTCTGTCTAACAAGAAATATGTGACTGATACTACTTCATCTCTTTCTGTCTAACAAGAACTATGTGACTGATACTACTTCATCTCTTTCTGTCTAACAAGAACTATGTGACTGATACTACTTCATCTCTTTCTGTCTAACAAGAACTATGTGACTGATACTACTTCATCTCTTTCTGTCTAACAAGAAATATGTGACTGATACTACTTCATCACTTTCTGTCTAACAACAAATATGTGAATGTGACTACTTCATCTCTTTCTGTCTAACAACAAATATGTGAATGTGACTACTTCATCTCTTTCTGTCTAACAACAAATATGTGAATGTGACTACTTCATCTCTTTCTGTCTAACAATATGTGAATGTGACTACTTCATCTCTTTCTGTCTAACAACAAATATTTGAATGTGACTACTTCTTAAACTGCAGTCTTTGTGATATGTCTTTTATAACTTTTTGTGTTTGGCCAAAGCAATTTAGGGAAATCTGGCTTCAGCAATAGAAGTTGGGAAATTAAAACTCTTATTGCTTTTTCAGAGTGGCTATTTCTCTGTGAGACATCAACTATAAAATGTTTTTGAGCCAAAAGAGTTAAACAGTTCACATTTCTAAAATGTTGGCGCATACTTGGAGGATGTAAATAAGAAATATTATGTATCGGTTGAAAAGGAAAGTCTTGCCTGCTGGCCTGAATTGCTTGAGTTCAAATCAGTAATGAGGCATTTTTTTTTCCTTTTCCAAACTGACCTTGTCCCCCAGGTCGAGTCAGCCTAAAATGGATACCAGGTAAAATCCTGGGCAGTCAAGGCAGCTGGCTTGGTGTTGAATACATCACCCAGCACTGGTGTCATAGAGCTGTCACCACTGGTGTCATAGAGCTGTCACCACTGGTGTCATACAGCTGTCACCACTGGTGTCATACAGCTGTCACCACTGGTGTCATACAGCTGTCACCACTGGTGTCATAGAGCTGTCACCACTGGTGTCATACAGCTGTCACCACTGGTGTCATACAGCTGTCACCACTGGTGTCATACAGCTGTCACCACTGGTGTCATAGAGCTGTCACCACTGGTGTCATACAGCTGTCACCACTGGTGTCATAGAGCTGTCACCACTGGTGTCATAGAGCTGTCACCACTGGTGTCATACAGCTGTCACCACTGGTGTCATAGAGCTGTCACCACTGGTGTCATAGAGCTGTCACCACTGGTGTCATACAGCTGTCACCTGGTGTCATACAGCTGTCACCACTGGTATCATACAGCTGTCACCACTGGTGTCATAGAGCTGTCACCACTGGTGTCATACAGCTGTCACCCGGTGTCATACAGCTGTCACCACTGGTATCATACAGCTGTCACCACTGGTGTCATACAGCTGTCACCACTGGTGTCATACAGCTGTCACCACTAGTGTCATACAGCTGTCACCACTAGTGTCATACAGCTGTCACCACTGGTGTCATAGAGCTGTCACCACTGGTGTCATACAGCTGTCACCACTGGTGTCATACAGCTATCACCACTGGTGTCATACAGCTGTCACCACTAGTGTCATACAGCTATCACCACTGGTGTCATACAGCTGTCACCACTAGTGTCATACAGCTATCACCACTGGTGTCATACAGCTGTCACCACTAGTGTCATACAGCTATCACCACTGGTGTCATACAGCTGTCACCACTGGTGTCATACAGCTGTCACCACTAGTGTCATACAGCTGTCACCACTGGTGTCATACAGCTATCACCACTGGTGTCATACAGCTATCACCACTGGTGTCATACAGCTATCACCACTGGTGTCATACAGCTATCACCACTGGTGTCATACAGCTATCACCACTGGTGTCATACAGCTATCACCACTGGTGTCATACAGCTATCACCACTGGTGTCATACAGCTATCACCACTGGTGTCATACAGCTATCACCACTGGTGTCATACAGCTATCACCACTGGTGTCATACAGCTATCACCACTGGTGTCATACAGCTATCACCACTGGTGTCATACAGCTATCACCACTGGTGTCATACAGCTGTCACCACTAGTGTCATACAGCTGTCACCACTGGTGTCATACAGCTGTCACCACTGGTGTCATACAGCTGTCACCACTAGTGTCATACAGCTATCACCACTGGTGTCATACAGCTGTCACCACTAGTGTCATACAGCTATCACCACTGGTGTCATACAGCTGTCACCACTGGTGTCATACAGCTATCACCACTGGTGTCATACAGCTGTCACCACTGGTGTCATACAGCTGTCACCACTGGTGTCATACATCTGTCACCACTGGTGTCATAGAGCTGTCACCACTAGAGTGATACAGCTGTCACCACTGGTCTGATACAGCTGTCACCACTGGTGTCATACAGCTGTCAACCCGGTGTCATACAGCTGTCACCACTGGTGTCATACAGCTGTCACCACTGGTGTCATACAGCTGTCACCACTGGTATCATACAGCTGTCACCCGGTGTCATACAGCTGTTACCACTGGTGTCATACATCTGTCACCACTGGTGTCATACAGCTGTCACCACTGGTGTCATACAGCTATCACCCCGGTGTCATACAGCTGTGACAACTGGTGTCATACAGCTGTCACCACTGGTGTCATACAGCTGTCACCACTGGTGTCATACAGCTGTCACCACTGGTGTCATACAGCTGTCACCACTGGTGTCATACAGCTGTCACCACTGGTGTCATACAGCAGTCACCATGGTGCCATACAGCTGTCACCACTGGTGTCATACAGCTGTCATACAGCTGTCACCACTGGTGTCATACGGCTGTCACCCCGGTGTCATACAACTGTCACCACTGGTGTCATACAGCTGTGACCACTGGTGTCATACAGCTGTCACTACTGGTGTCATACAGCTGTCACCACTGGTGTCATACAGCTGTCACCACTGGTGTCATAAAGCTGTCACCACTGGTGTCATACATCTGTCACCACTGGTGTCATACATGCAGTCACCATGGTGCCATACAGCTGTCACCACTGGTGTCATACAGCTGTCACCCCGGTGTCATACATCTGTCACCACTGGTGTCATACGGCTGTCACCCTGGTGTCATACAGCTGTCACCACTGGTGTCATACAGCTGTCACCCCGGTGTCATACAGCTGTCACCCCGGTGTCATACGGCTGTCACCCCGGTGTCATACAGCTGTCACCACTGGTGTCATACAGCTGTCACCACTGGTGTCATACAGCGGTCACCCCGGTGTCATACGGCTGTCACCACTGGTGTCATACAGCTGTCCCCACTGGTGTCATACAGCTGTCACCACTAGTGTCATACAGCTGTCACCACTGGTGTCATACAGCTGTCACCACTAGTGTCATACAGCTGTCCCCACTGGTGTCATACAGCTGTCACCACTAGTGTCATACAGCTGTCACCACTGGTGTCATACAGCTGTCACCACTAGTGTCATACAGCTGTCACCACTGGTGTCATACAGCTGTCACCACTAGTGTCATACAGCTGTCACCACTGGTGTCATACAGCTGTCACCACTGGTGTCATACAGCTGTCACCACTGGTATCATACAGCTGTCACCACTGGTGTCATAGAGCTGTCACCACTGGTGTCATACAGCTGTCACCCGGTGTCATACAGCTGTCACCACTGGTGTCATACAGCTGTCACCACTAGTGTCATACAGCTGTCACCACTGGTGTCATACAGCTGTCACAACTAGTGTCATACAGCTGTCACCACTGGTGTCATACAGCTGTCACCACTAGTGTCATACAGCTGTCCCCACTGGTGTCATACAGCTGTCACCACTGGTGTCATACAGCTGTCACCACTGGTGTCATACAGCTGTCACCACTGGTGTCATACAGCTGTCACCACTAGTGTCATACAGCTGTCCCCACTGGTGTCATACAGCTGTCACCACTAGTGTCATACAGCTGTCACCACTGGTGTCATACAGCTGTCACCACTAGTGTCATACAGCTGTCACTACTGGTGTCATACAGCTGTCACCACTAGTGTCATACAGCTGTCACCACTGGTGTCATACAGCTGTCCCCACTGGTGTCATAGAGCTGTCACCACTGGTGTCATACAGCTGTCACCACTAGTGTCATACAGCTGTCACCACTGGTGTCATACAGCTCTTTACAGCTGCTCTCATTTAACCTTCTAGCAAAGTGCCAAACCAAAACAAACTTGAAATTGACAATTAATGTTTCAGACGGTATCTCTTTGACTGTGTTGAGACATCATACACTGTGGTGGCCGACATACACGACATGAGACACATAGCCTGCCCTATCAGGGACCCCAATGGCAAAGTAGTCAGCGTTGTTGACCTCAACACTGGAAAGCTGAAAAATCTGCCCAAATATGAAAGCAGGGAAGCCCAGAGACTTCTTCGGCTGCTGCAGCGAGCTTTCTGTGAGCTGAGTCGGGTCTCCAAGGGTGAAGACCCACAATGTGTGCTGGGTGAGTTCAACACTGTCTCAGGAGAAAACAATTGTGCAAATAATTGCCTCAATAATATCATTTTCTGTAATTAACAATGAACTGTAATGTTCATGTCTCCAATTGTATCTAGTTCTTTTCCTTCCACATTAAGTAGATAATAATTATCTACACTAATTAGAAATCCATCTACACTAATTAGAAATCCATCTACACTAATTAGAGATCCATCTACACTAATTAGAGATCCATCTACTCTAATCAGAGATCCATCTACACTAATTAGAGATCCATTACACTAATTAGAGATCCATCTACACTAATTAGAGATCCATCTACACTAATTAGAGATCCATCTACTCTGTGTAGAGAATAATAAGTAAAATGTACAGAATCATATACACCAAGTAGAGAATCGTCTAAACTATGTAGAGAATCGTCTAAACTATGTAGAGAATTGTCTAAACTATGTAGAGAATCGTCTAAACTATGTAGAGAATCATCTAAACTATGTAGAGAATCATCTAAACTATGTAGAGAATCATCTAAATTATGTAGAGAATCATCTAAACTATGTAGAGAATCGTCTAAACTATGTAGAGAATTGTCTAAACTATGTAGAGAATCATCTAAACTATGTAGAGAATCATCTAAACTATGTAGAGAATCATCTAAACTATGTAGAGAATCATCTAAACTATGTAGAGAATTGTCTAAACTATGTAGAGAATTGTCTAAACTATGTAGACAATCATCTAAACTATGTAGAGAATTGTCTAAACTATGTAGAGAATTGTCTAAACTATGTAGAAAATCATCTAATATGTAGAGAATCATCTAAACTATGTAGAGAATCGTCTAAACTATGTAGAGAATCATCTAAACTATATAGAGAATCATCTAAACTATGTAGAGAATTGTCTAAACTATGTAGAGAATCATCTAAACTATGTAGAAAATTGTCTAAACTATGTAGAGAATCATCTAAACTGTGTAGAGAATTGTCTAAACTATGTAGAGAATTGTCTAAACTATGTAGAGAATTGTCTAAACTATGTAGAGAATCATCTAAACTATGTAGAGAATTTTCTAAACTATGTAGAGAATTGTCTCAACTATGTAGAGAATCATCTAAACTATGTAGAGAATCATCTAAACTATGTAGAGAATCATCTAAACTATGTAGAGAATCATCTAAACTATGTAGAGAATCATCTAAACTATGTAGAGAATTGTCTAAACTATGTAGAGAATCATCTAAACTATGTAGAGAATCATCTAAACTATGTAGAGAATTGTCTAAACTATGTAGAGAATCATCTAAACTATATAGAGAATCGTCTAAACTATGTAGAGAATTGTCTAAACTATGTAGAGAATCATCTAAACTATGTAGAGAATCATCTAAACTATGTAGAGAATCATCTAAACTATGTAGAGAATCATCTAAACTATGTAGAGAATCATCTAAACTATGTAGAGAATCATCTAAACTATGTAGAGAATCATCTAAACTATGTAGAGAATCATCTAAACTATGAAGAGAATCATCTAAACTATGTAGAGAATCATCTAAACCATGTAGAGAATCATCTAAATTATGCAGAGAATCATCTAAACTATGCAGAGAATCATCTAAACTATGTAGAGAATCATCTAAACTATGCAGAGAATCATCTAAACTATGTAGAGAATCATCTAAACTATGTAAAGAATCATTTAAACTATGCAGAGAATCATCTATAACTATGTAGAGAATAATCAACAAGAAGTAGAGAATTGTCTATAGCAAGTTGAGAATCATCTACATTCAGCAGAAACTATCAAGAAGTAGAGAAACATCTACAATGTGAAGAAAAATCAACAAGAAATAGAGAAACATCTACAGTGAGTACATAAAAATCAACAAGAAATAAAGAAACATCTACAGTGAGTAAAAAATTATCAATAAGAAATAGAGAATTATTTAAACTATGTAGAGAATTATCTGCAATGAGTAAAGAAAAATGAACAAGAAGTAGAGAAACATCTACAGTGAGTAAAGAAAAATCAACAAGAAATAAAGAAACATCTACAGTCAGTAAAAAACTATTAACAAGAAATAGAGAATTATCTAAACTAAGTAGAGAAACATCTACAGTGAGTAAAGAATAATCAACAAGAAGTAAAGAATCATCTAAACTGAGTATAGATCTACACCAAATAGAGAAACATCATATTTGCTTTGTTACTAGTTGTCCCATTGAAACTGGTGCCATGCCTTATGAGATCTGTCAGTTTGCTTCACGGTTGACTTGCTCTGTTGAATATCCAGTATTTCATCATATGCCATTTAGTTACAACTGTCAGCCTTTTGATAGTACTCACCACTTGACTGACAGTTCTCATCGCTTCACTGACAGTATTCATTGCTTGACTGACAGTACTCATCACTTCACTGACAGTACTCAGCACTTGACTGACAGTACTCATCACTTGACTGACAGTACTCATCACTTGACTGACAGTACTCATCACTTGACTGACAGTACTCATCACTGGACTGACAGTACTTATCACTTTACTGACAGTACTTATCACTTTAATGACAAAACTGCCTTTAATTTCTCCAAATGAAGAGGCAGAACAAGATCCGATGGTTGGAATCGACATCATGTTTGAGCGTCTCATGCTACAGGAGCTGCGAGATAACATATCCCGCATCGACCCCCAGTCTTATATTGAAATCAAAGGCTACTTTGAACCACCACGAGTCATATCCGAAGTTGTGAGAGCCACTATTGCTATCTTTAAAGTGGATCAAGTTGGTGAAGGAATCTACGACGACTGGGATGATCTCAAGAATGTAGGTCCTTTCTCTCAGATAATTTTTTTTTATTTTTATTGTGAGTGTTTTTTTTGTTGTTTTTTTTTTTTTCAATTTATATTTTTCCATTCTATAAACATTATCTGCAAGTAACTTGGGTTTACTTTTGTTGTCCTACTTTTCTGGGTAGCTGCTTTTTATCTCACTAGATTTTCATTCATGAAGTTTTATACTTTGAGAAAAAAAAAAACCTATCTATGCTGTCAGGTGCAGAATCAGCCCAGTGATGGCTGCCAGAGTCTTAATGGGCAGATGAGGATCATGAGCAATTGAGCCTAACTTTACCTCCACACAGTTACATTATGATTATTGTGCACCGCAATACACAATGATCAGAGAGATCCAGGGATGTAGATGTCAGAGAGATCCAGGGATGTAGATGTCAGAGAGATCCAGGGATGTAGATGTCAGAGAGATCCAGTGATGTAGATGTCAGAGAGATCCAGGGATGTAGATGTCAGAGAGATCCAGGGATGTAGATGTCAGAGAGATCCAGGGATGTAGATGTGAGAGAGATCCAGGGATGTAGATGTGAGAGAGATCCAGGGATGTAGATGTCAGAGAGATCCAGGGGTGTAGATGTCAGAGAGATCCAGTGATGTAGATGTCAGAGAGATCCAGGGATGTAGATGTGAGAGAGATCCAGGGATGTAGATGTCAGAGAGATCCAGTGATGTAGATGTGAGAGAGATCCAGGGATGTAGATGTCAGAGAGATCCAGTGATGTAGATGTGAGAGAGATCCAGTGATGTAGATGTCAGAGAGATCCAGGGATGTAGATGTCAAAGAAATCCAGGGATGTAGATGTGAGAGAGATCCAGTGATGTAGATGTCAGAGAGATCCAGGGATGTAGATGTGAGAGAGATCCAGAGATGTAGATGTCAGAGAGATCCAGGGATGTAGATGTCAGAGAGATCCAGGGATGTAGATGTCAGAGAGATCCAGGGATGTAGATGTCAGAGAGATCCAGGGATGTCTGATCTCTCACGCAGTAGAATGCACCCGCTGCTCTCTCTTGAAAACTTGGTCTAGCCCCATGACTTCTTGTCCCTATAGGGTGAAAGGGTCACACTTATGTTGTACATCCCTCGATCATGAAAACCCTTCTACATTCAAGACCACTGTGCGTGACCGAAGAAGCACAGAACACAACGGATCTAGAGAACACAACGGATCTAGAGAACACAACGGATCTAGAGAAGACAACATCTATTTAAAAACAACCTAAGCCTATGGTGGACGTACGTGCCTATTGGCTGAATAGCTACAGGTTATACAGTCGTGAACGTGGAACATCTGGTTAGCGAGTGGGGCGGGGCCATGTGTATGGACTCCGTGAGGACATCCATTGCCTCTTCCCTAGGAGCCAGGCAATACTAGAGTGACTATTTACTTCCTGCATTGAAGGAATATATTCTATGGATTTTGTACTTAATAATAAAAAGAATCATCGCTGGAGCTACGGAGTGAGTGCTATGTGCTTGATACCATCTTCAGGTGAAAACGGAGAATGTGGGAAGAGGAGAAGATGAGGAAGTAGAGAGAGAAGAAGGCAGAGAAACAGGCGAGCCGGAGCCTGGAGAGTTAGGCAAAAAACGGAGCGTCTGGGATCAAAACATGTCAGAGTGGGTTACTGGAATTGTGGTAGCTTGTGGTTCTTGACCTGAGCCAGTGGAATCATCGTACACTTGAAGTTCAGGGTATGCGGATAGATAATGGGGGAACAACCTGGAATTTAGTAAATGTTTACCCTACTGTTAAATCTCTTGTCACAAAGGAACATTGGGACTGGCTCAAAGAGTTGAAGGAAATCCCTGGTAATAGGATTCTCATCTGTGGGGATTTCAATGCACTTAACAGAGCATAGGACATTAGTGGGGAAATAGGCAAGGAAAGGCTTTAGCTGAGGCTATGGGGGATTCTAACGTAGTCTGTATAAACAAACGGTAGGCCAACTAGAATGGCAATGAGACCTGGTGATGCAGATACGGTTATTGATTTGGCTTTTGTTACCCAGTCAGCAGTGCTGGACACAAAATGGAGTGTCCTAGGCGATCATGGGAGTGATCATATGCCAGGCTTAGTCTTGATTTCTAAGCTGGCAAGATCAGGTCTGTGGGCAAGACTTTTAAGTATGAGAGGGACAGCACCCTTCTTGGATGTCTCTGACAAAAAGTATGCAGCAGAACCACCATCTCTGCTTTTGTGCAGCTTCCATAGTGGACCCAAGAAGTAGAGCAAGCATGAAGAGCAAAACGAGCAGCAATTACAGAAAGTTTGAAATGGACCTCACAGGATACAAGAGGAAGTAGAGTAGCTAGACAGAGAAAGGAAAAAGTAGAAGAGTTCAAGCGGTGTGCAGCGGATGCAAAAAAAGCTAAATTGGAACATTTTATGAGCGAAGTTTGAGGGAATACACCACTGGGTAGGTTTTGGAAACTTCACAGATGCAAAGGAAGGATTACAACAGGGCTTATATACACTGAAAATGATATGCCAATCACAACAGGGCTTATATACACTGAAAATGATATGCCAATCACAACAGACAAAGAGAAAGGGGAAGCATTTTTGATGAGATTTATAGCCCACACTGATCATAAAATACAGGCAGCCTATAAATTCAGTTAGAGATAATCTTTATAATACAACAAATGATAATTATTTTGAGGATATCATTAGGGTGGAGGATATAAAAAATTTAGAGAAAAAAGCAAAGGATACTGCGCTGGGACAAGACGGAGTCAGGTATGCCCATATAAAGAACATGAGTGATGAAGACTTAAGGGAGATGGCTTGTTATTTCAACCAGAGCATCAGAACAGCTTCAGTACCCTAGGAATGAGTACACAGCTACATAATCCCACTTCCAAAACCTCTCTTCTGCCACTGTCACTGCTAGCACCCTGCACTTCTGCCACTGTCACTGTTTGCACCCTGCAGTTCTGCCACTGTCACTGCTTGCACCCTGCAGTTCTGCCACTGTCACTGTTTGCACCCTGCAGTTCTGCCACTGTCACTGCTTGCACCCTGCAGTTCTGCCACTGTCACTGCTTGCACCCTGCAGTTCTGCCACTGTCACTGCTTGCACCCTGCAGTTCTGCCGCTGTCACTGCTAGCACCCTGCAGTAACACTTGTTGGTTTTGCCTGTCTTCTGCCACTGTCACTGCTTGCACCCTGAGCTTTCATCATCTCATTAACTGAATTTAACAGTATTCTGATTTATAAACATGCTCGTAATTCCACAATGCCTGTCTTATTTCTATTTAAAGTGCATCAACAGTGATCTGATAACGAACATCAAAACACATGACCCCATCTCAAGTGCTCACCTTGCAGATGCTGACAAATTACAAAGATACCTTAAAGGTGAGTTCTCAGAGTCTTTGATAGCTCATACATTTGATGCAGTTCTTCCAAAGTTCCTGTATTACTGTCCTTATGATTCTGTCTCTCCCTCTTTTCTTTTCACCGGTTTCTTTCTATGCCTCGCTCTATCCTTATGCTTTTGTGTCTGTCATTGTCTTCTACTTCTTTCTCTCTCTGTCTCTCTCTCTCTCCCCTCCTGTTTGTCTGTGTCTATTTGTCTACGTCTGTCTTAGTCTCTTTCTGTCTCATTATTTCTGTTTTTGTCTATCTGTCTCTGTTTCTCTCATTCTCTATCCTTGTCTTTCTCTCCTTTATATCGTTCCTCCTCCTGGCTCCCACATCTCCTGCTCTCAGTATATACATTATACATTGTATTTATACATTAGGTGAGGAGAGAAGTGGGTCAAAGTGCCACCTGAACAGTCAGACTTGTGTTGGGTCATAATCACACTGAGCCGGAAATGCAGAGACTGGCCAGCAGGTGCAACGGAGATGGAAATTCAGCAATTAATTCAAGATAATGCTCGCTCAGAAGATTTGATAATTTACACAGACAGTTCAGTGTCAAGAGGCAAAAGAAGTGCTTGGGGCCTCTTAGCAAAAGTTAATGGTCGACGTTTGGTGCAGGAGAGCCTAGCATATGATACCACAACATCCAGCTTAAGAATGGAGGTGGAGGCGGTCACTGCAGCTTTCCGCTGGTTATAGAACACGATACACACACACATCGTGATTGTAACTGACTCACAAAGCATGCTGAGGAAGATCAGGACAGGCATGCTTCGTGCAGAGTGGCATGCTTCGCAGCGGAGGACACAGGTGAAGAGTATTGTCTGGATTTTT